CAATACGGTATTTGACAATTTTTGGAAATCGTTTTAAATGGTTGTTTTAGTATATAATATACGTACAAAATTAATCTTACTGCAAAATTTACAGTATTTAGGATAAACATCGAAGTTACAATTTAAATTGTAAAAAGCGCGGCAGAAACGATTTCATTGTAATGGCTCGAGTCACGTGACGCGTGTGACGTCACACGCTAGTACAACAATCCATCTTGCTTGAATATTCAAAGGTATTGCTTGTTATTAAATCATATTTCAGTATTTATTAGAAATTATGTCTTATAAATGGTGTGTAGTGCCACAATGTACAAATACATCAATAAAAACACCGGAAAAAGTATTTTTATCTGTTCCTACGAATCCCAAAAAACGTAAATTGTGGTTACGGTTGGCGCGAAGAGAGCCAAACAGTGTCTCGATGCGTACAAATATTTTTATGTGTGAAGATCACTTTAATGTAAGTAGCACTTAACTTTATACTTAATAGATAGTACCTATCTATTTTCTAATGTTATTTTTGTTTCCTGAGCTACTCATTAGTCTTGTCAAACTTAGTCTAAATAACTTTTTACAACATGAATACTTCACTTGTTTACTTTATTTATTAATGGATATCAATGTGAATTTCAGTTGGAAACAGCCATAAAGAACTACATGATGTACAAAATGGGCTTCAATCAGAAGATGCTTTTGGCAGATGAAGCTGTGCCAACAAAATTCGATTGTCAAGAGGATCGCAAAAGACGGTTGTCTGGTGGACCTTCTCGAGACCTGCCCATAAAGAGACAAAAAAATGATATCGTCACAGAATGCTTACAAAGTTTAAGTGCCACTAAAACCCATGCCGAAATGCTTCAAGAAGACAATTATGTGCCACAAAACGTTATTGAGCCTGAAGGTATGGTACAACTAAATTTTATTTTCCATTACAAATTGAATCAGTAAGATTGTATAATAAATGTTGGATGTTTGTATTTTCAGTATTACCAAGGACTGCAGATAAAGGAATGTGTACAGATCCTATAATTGCTGTAGAAAAGTCTGTCCAAGTGTCAATGAAATCAAATGTGCATTATAGGAGCAAAGCTATACAAACTAGAAACAAAAATAAAAGTATTTCGACATCACCATTCAAAGTGTCCACAACATCGAGTTACACTTCACCTTTTAAATATGAACAATGCAGTCTTCAACGGTTACAGTCAGGAGTTGTAAAAGCAGCTAAAGAAGTTGTTGCCTTAGAACGTGATAAATCAGATAGTGAAATTTCAAGCATTAAGAGTGGTTATTCTTCACCTTTTGTACCTACATCATCAAAGATTACAGATTCTGATAGTTATACTACGGATACTAATTCCACTGTTCATCAACTGCAGTGCCTCAAAAATACCCTACATTTAATTAAAAAAAAACCATTAATGTATGTTGGTATTACTGAACATTGTTATTTTATTATTCAGTTAATGCACAAACACACAAATATAAAAGTAGAACACATTTTGCTATGCTTGAAAAAAATTAGACTAAATAGCACATTTTCTGAATTAGAGGATAATTTTGGAATGTCACTATCATATGCCAGTAAAATATTTTTAAATAACATACCCATATTGAGTAGCTTTTTGAGACCATTTATTGTAAATTTAAACAGTAACTTAACAAAGAGAAATCTTCCAATACCATTTAGACATAACTATCACAATGTCAGCTGCATTATTGATTGTCTTGAAATTGATATACAAAAACCATCTAAGGCTCTACACCAGGCTCTGACATGGTCAGAGTACAAGAAGGGAAATACTGTGAAGTATTTAATATCCTGCACTCCTAATGGATTAGTCAACTATGTTTCTCAAGGCTTTGGGGGCAGAACGAGTGATGTTGTAATAGTAGAAAACACTGACTTTCTAGATAAATTACAACCTGGAACTTGCATCTTAGCGGACAGAGGCTTCAAACACCTAGAACAAATACTTCATAGTAAAGGCATTAAACTATTACGGCCGCCTAGTGTAAGTGCTGGTGTAAAGTTATCCAAATCTGAAGTCCGACAAACTAAAATAATTGCAAGCCTGCGAATTCATGTGGAAAGAGTAATAAGGCGCTTGAGAGAATTCCACATGCTAAAACAACATACAGTGATAAACACCAACATACTTCGTATAATTGACCATATAATTATTATTGCATGTGCTTTAATAAATTTGCAAGACTCTCTTATTAAGTAATGTTTTGTATATTAATATTATATCTTCCTAGAAATACTAAGTAAAGAAAAAATTAAGAAAGAATATCTTACTAAATGTGGCCTTTTGGCTCTGTCTACCTCTGATAAGGATGTGATGTATGAATGTTATCTTTAAGAAGGAAAGTTGTTTGTTTGCATTGAATAGGCTCCAAAACAACTAACCACAGCTCAAAGTGCTTGCCAAGACAATTAATCAAACAAGTCAAATCACAATCAGTGCATAGGTATTATTATATATTATTATGTACACATATTTAGTTAAATTAAATAAAAGTTAGTTAAATTCTTTCATCTTGGGATAGATATGTTACATAACACACTTTTCACTGAGAGCAATGAATGTAGCAAAAACTAAAGGCATGGGGACTTCTAGTGTAGTGTATGTATTTGTAAGTTTTATAAATAAATGTAAATACCTATTGAAAAATAAATAAAACAATGTGCACAGAAAACATTTTTATTTATTAATCTGTCACCCTAGTGCTACGGTACAAAACTGGATAAACATTATTTTTCCAAAAAGTAACCAGCTTTTGCAGTAAATTATGGGTATAAGCACTATCATAATGCACTAAAAGAATATCCACCTTTTGGTTCTCTTCAAATTTGCTATCTGCAACACAGAAATAGCATTTTTTCATGCTAGTTGCATGCATTTGTAATTGCACCTGTGCATTAAATTTTTCTGTAATTACTCCATTTTTTATATAGTTCTCTTTGGTTTTAGCCTGAGTAGGGCATTTTATTTCAATAACAGCATCCTTTGTTAGGCCATCAGGAGATGCTGCAATCATGGGACTCTCATTACATACGTAAAGTCCACATATACTTATTTTTTTGTTCAATATGGAAGCAACTTTCTTTCGGACTGCCTTTTCTAAAGTTCTTCCTCTTTTCATTGCTAGCGTATCTGGTATTTTTGCACCCATCACAGTAGCAATCAATGACCCTTCTGGTGTCCGGCAAACACTCACTTGATATGCTTTTGAAGCTGTGATACGGCCATAACGCATCTCATACCACAAACTGCTTTTATCTTGATTTCTCGTTGCTTCTTCTATGGCACTTATTTCAGCCTCTGTGATATTTGTCTTCATCACTTCAACAAATTTATCAACATCAGCACTAGTTTCCTCTGATTGATTCATCAAAAAACAGTGTAATGAATACTGCATGACATCTTTATGTTTAAAATCATTTTGATATTTAAGTAATTCACATTTGGTTATATTTCTAGATTTGGCCACAGAAATGAATTCATTATATAGTTCAGATGAACTTGGTCTATGAGGCACTGCTTTCTCACACATCTGCTCAACAGTGATATATTTCATAGTGGTCCCTACTCGCGATAGAATAGGTTTTTTCCAGTAGCATTCTACTGAAGTACATGCAGGTTCCTCAGTGCGACGATGGACCCACATCAGGAAAGCAACTGAATGCTTGCATCCCCCAGCTGAAGCAGCACAGTCAAGGCACTGGCAGCTAATGACTTCACTATCTTCTTCATTGATAATCATTGTTACATTATATGCCTTTGACCGAACTTTATGCTCTGGGCATATTTTGCATTTCATTGTGCAAACTCCTTGCTCCCGTTTGATTTGCACATAGCCAATGGCGTCGTCACCATAAGATTCCCTTGCAGACCTGTAAACAAAAGCAAAAACCACATAAGAGATGTGACTCTAAGTTCCTAACCTAAAAATTAAGGCTTATTAAAATCAATTAATACGGGAATAATATTATATAACGACATAAAGGTATTATAATGCAACAATAGCATTTATTATATATGAAAACAAATGATTAAAATATGCCGCGTGAATTTTTTTCTACAACATATAACATATAAGTTTACAAGGGTAAATAATATGTAAATAGATTCCACTTTGGTACTTACACTGCTGTTTTCACATTTTTTAGTTCAGATGAATAATAATCAGCGTTATTCTTAAAAAAAAGTGCAACCATTAAAGCGTCTATCCTGGGTAAGTTGCTGCTATCGGCTTGCACAAAATTTGCGTCCATTTTTAGTATGGTAAACTAATATTAATAACACTAGTTATAAACAATGTCCGTAGTAGCAAGTAGTAACAAGTAATTCTTCGAAAATAGTTTACAAATAGAAATTACAGCCAAAACACAGTAAACTCCAACGACAATCAATAGCGCAAAACACCTGTTCGCTGGCGTGTGACGTCACGAGTGTTACCACCAATCACAGAGCGTTTCGATTCACGTGAAATTATTTAAAAAAACTTCATTTTTATTTTGTGAAATATGTAAATAATATACATTATTTTGTTAAAATAAAGTAGAAGTGGTATTCTTTAGACTATTGTCTCGTAAAATATCTATATTTTGTAGAGTATTTTGAATGTTGTCAAACACCGTATTGTAATTGTTATCGAGACTCAGAGGGCCTAAACAAGTTGTTTAACACGTTACCGGTTTAACGTTACCTCGGTCGACACGTTACCGCGTTTTGCCCACTGATTGGTTAGTTAAATGAAGCTGACCAATCAGAGCGCTAAACGTCGACGTGTGATCGCATTACCGTTGAACAGGGCTGTCCAAACAAAGGCCCGCAGCTTGTTTTCATGTGGCCCGCGACATAAATTTTAATCTCAACATCCCCATCTTATGTGCAACAACAATAATAAACTTCAGTGTATGATTTGTATATAAGTTTAGTCTGTGAGTAAAGAATACAATGTTAAACGTCATTATACAACTGACAATATTTTTCTGGCCGTTCAGCTTTTGTAAGAAATTTAATTTACCCGCGAGGGTATATAGTTTGGACAGCCCTGCCTTAAAACAAAGTCGCACTAGGCATTCTGAACAATTTTACGAGATGTGGAGGTTCCTGATTTAAAAAAGTTTTTAACTTACAGTCTGTTCAATTAGATAATTAAGTAATATTCAAGTAATATGTGTATCAAGTATTCAATCGAGATCAATGGATGTTAAATAATTTAATCTAGAAGAAAATCCTAGTGTGGTTTTAATTCAGCAAAAATAAAAAAATAGTATGTATTAAGTTTACAAATATACAAGTTCACATACACATGACACCCACCTCGGAGTTGCTCCGTGCGGAATGGAACATGCTACATGTTGCGACTGCGAACCGTGCAGTCTTTTATTGTCTATGTTGAATTTCTTTTCAAAATGCATATATCATCTATCGAACATCGGTTGATCTCGATGATATATCCTATATAATAAATATAAGAGGAATACGAATAGCCAAGGCCTCTCACGCGAAAGCTTGTAAACATTTTGTGCCAAATTATTTGCCATCGTCGCAACATTGCTTGAATATAAAATATATCATTGTTGTATTTATTTGTAATTTTACAATGTATAAAATGTAATAAATTATTAACTACTTAGCTTTTGTTTTTTATTTATGCTTCCAATTTCATATTTTGGAATTTACTTTCATATGAAAACAATGTTGACTGTTGAGGAAGGTATGTAAGAGTCTCCGTAGTGTAAGAGGCCCACACACTACCAGGGCCCTATCGTGCGTAAGCAAAAATGAATAAAAACTTCCCAATGTTTATTTTATTACAGTAATTACAAACAATTAAAATAAACGATATTTTTCCACCGTAAAGCTTGCGTTCAAAGGTCGGTAGATACTTTAAAAAAACTAAAGTAGGTAATCATAGTCCAATAATTTGGGCAGAAAGAGTTGCCTTGAAAGTTTTCAGATTTTCACACAAACTATTAGTATTTTATATATGTTACTGTAAAAGCTCGAACTGCAGTAAATCCTAAGATATTCCAGTAAAACCTAAGATCTACCAATTCCTAATGGTAAATGTCCAAAAAAATTTGCGATTCGAACTTTTACCACCATTCCGTTGGTAAATCTTAGGATTTATATCAACGGCATGGTAAATGTTGAAAAACAAAACATGTCATAATGTGCTCAGCGCATCGACTTGTAGCTTGCCGCCCCCGCTACCCGCGCACCGTCTCCGCCACTCCGCTCGCCTCAATCGCTCGTTTGACACGTTTGAACTCGCACGATAAACTGATTTATAATTATATTTTTGGTGTTTAAAAGTTATTTATGAATAAAAATGAGTATGAAGCAAAGATTTTATCCCTTAAAAAAAATAATAATAAAAATAAATCATAAGACATCAAAGAAAACATTTTCCTCATCGCTACCGTGAGGTAGGATGCCCAAAAGACTGGCAGCATTGCCACGTTGAATGGCAATGCTTAACCTTTGCCCAAGGTAGTAGCCAGCCCTTCAATCACCTGAAGTGTCAACCATCCTCCTTACAATATCTTTGTAAAGAAGATGTGTTCCCCAAACGGTTTGAAAGCATAGTTGCCAATCATGCTATTATACTTTCGCCGTTTGAGGTTGTAAGATGGGATGGCGCCAGAGTATCAACGCAAGTGGCGTCCCATACTAAAGCCCTACCCATCTTCCAAGGGAATAATGACATACCGTCGGGTCTCTTGCCATCGTCGTGTACCAAGCCATTAGGTTCTAAAGTAGCTGGCACGCCAACGGAGGCAAGAGCTCGACGAATTATGTCATTAATACTTGCGTGTCGAGCAAAACGGCCCGCACTACGGCTACATGACAAGCCGTGGTGTCCAAGGCTGTTGACATCTTCACCACAACGACAACGATGAGGTGAACAAAATGAAGCTCCAAGCCTTAAACAAATTTTATTAAATAATGGACGAGCTTGTGGCAAACAAAAAGATATTAACAAATACGCTAAGTGTTTAAAGGAAGTAAAAACTGCAAAGAACATTTAAAGAAGGAACATTAAAGAAAATGTTTTTTTAGGAACCTTACCTATTAATCAATTACATTTGATTATCTTTATTTACTTCTAAACCAAATAATAAGAAAAATAATAATTAAGTTAGACTAGCTTTTATAAGCATTATGTTTGTATTTCGTTGATAAATTCCAAATAGAGAAGTACTGATTCAGTTAGATAGATATGGCAGAGATTAAGATATTCAGATACGTGTTTTTTCAAAATAATTTTAATAAGTTGATATTAGTTTGTACTTGTTACTATCATTATGATATCTTTATAAGACTATTGTCGGAATACTGAAACGCTACTCAATTTTAAGTCGCGCTTAAGAATAGTTCTGTCACCACTAATTCTTTGTAAAATGACAGAGATGGCACGATATTTGAGCACGACTTAAAATTGAGTAACGTTTCAGTATTCCGGCATATGTACCGGTTTTGTCTAATAGTTCAAAGTAAATAATTAAAATTACTCATTGTTTTATTCCTAAAACCAACATTTACCAGCTGACAGTGGTAAAACCTAGCATACACTGAGTTCGAATGGTAAAAGCTAGAAAAAAACGTCGTATCTTCAGAAATACTTACATTTACCAACTCATGTCGGTAAATCCTAAGACTTACACTTAAATCTTAAGATTTACCGTAGTTCGAGCTTTTACAGTAACATATATATTTATATTGCACCCAATTTAATCATTTATTTGGTCCATGGAAAGTGTCTGACACTTATGATACTTTAGAATAATATTCAACAAAAATGAGCCATAAAAAATAAGATACTCTTATTTTTAGTTACCCGTCCCGCCTGGTACCTGGCTAGGTGCCCCACGGTAAGCTCCATAACCATACAGGTGTTCAAAGCACATGAGACGCTACTGAGAAACTAAGGTTTTATCTATTTGAAAATAAGTTATGTCTGATCGCTCTGGGATCTTGGAGTAATAGTGACAGCCAGCAGATCCAATCCAATCTGTCAAATTTATTCATTTGATTTTCGACTTAATGTCAATACAATAAAGTTAAAGATGTAATAGAGAAATTTGATAGAAAAGGGGAGGTTATCCCCCTGGCCACTGTACATTGTATATAAATAAATAAAACAAACTAATTTACATCATATTTTATTCTTTAACTCTCCTTTATTCCCTTTTATTTTCTTCTTCTTTTTCGCACTGGATTCTTCTAGATCCTTCTTTGCTTTAACATTGTCTGCTTTCCGTTTAATTTTCGTGATCTTTCCAATAACATCTTTGAATCTATCATCTTTCTTCATCAGTGATTTGTTGACTTTCTTTAGTCCTTCTTTAATTGAGGTATCGATGTCCGCCGCGTCATTTTGAAGTCGGTTGTCATCCTTCGAAGGTTTCTCAGCCTGAATTTGTGCCTGTACTTCTTTTATTTTTGCTAACTTTGCCTTTTTAGCCGCTTTTATCCGTTTGCGCCGCATTTCTTCTAGGCTGTTAGGAATAAAGTTATTCATAAATAAATTTAATTGTTTTATGATTAACTCGTTGAGTACCGTCATTATAGACACAATTAAAGAACAATAGGTTGCGGTGACCTGTGTCCTCGCGGTGTTTGACAGTTTAATTTCAAAGGCGTAGTGTATGAAAGGATGTACACAATGGCAAGTATACAATGATACCATGTACAAGTATACCATGTACTGAGAAATAAATGACATTCATTCATTCATTCATTCCTTCATTCAATATTCACAATGTTCACAACTTATTTTATGAGACAAAAACCAATGGTACTTGGCTCGGCTCGAGAAACGAACCCGAGACCCTATTGCTCGGCAGTCGATTGCGACCAGTTGCTCGGCAGTCGATTGCGACCAGTCGACCAAACTGAATTCTACTAATATTATAATTGTTGCATACAAAAGTAACTGGACGGATTTAGATAAAAAGCGCTAATTCTTAGGTAAATAATTCTATAATTTTTGTTTTAGGAATGTAGTTAAAGCAGTTGGCAGAAGCTAAGCTAGCACTAAAATATTACGTATATACATGCTTACCCTTCTTCCATCATGTCAGGGTCTACCCCGGCCTGTATCCAGCGCTTGACGCGATAATTCCGCTTTCTTTGCTCAAACTCCTCATTGTCCAACTGGGCCTCCTGCTCACGACGCGTCACACTCACCGTCGTGAAGATTTTTACAGCCTCATCATCTGTGAAGGTTAAAAGATGAGTTTATTTATTTAGGACAATTGATAAAGCACCCTGAATCGACAAGGATGCATGAAGATATTAATGAATGTAGAGGTAGATAAAGCAAAATGTTAAGAAGTATAATATAAATATTAAACCATTATTTTTTGCCTCGATATTTTATGATAATATTTTTTAAATTGCCTCGTTGGCCGAGTGGTCGCAAGTGCGACTGCCAGGCAAGGGGTCTCGGGTTCGATTCTCGGGTCGGGCGAAGTATTACTGGGTTTTAAAAAAAAATCTCAGTAATAGCACGGAATCTGGAATTGTGCCCGATATATGGCAATAGGCTCATCCCCTATTACATGGGACTCATAACGTAAATAGTGAAAAGTGGGTGTTACATTGTGCAGTGGCATAATGTGCACCTCTGCCTACCCCTTCTGGGATAAAAGGCGTGATGCTGTTATCTTTCTTAAATTCTATTACCTGCACTGTTTGAATTGACCTATAATAACCAACGGTGTTTATATGTATATGTATGTACCTCTATGTCAGTAAGTGTCTCTTATGTCAAGAGGAATGTTAGTAAAATAAATAATTTGATTTACTGTTAGTATTTGTATTGCAGTCGAAACTCACCATCAATTTTATACTCGGTGAGTTTAGTTTTGATTGCCTCTTCTATCTCGCCGAGCCGGAGTATGTCGTAGGGTGTGATCAGAGAGATCGCCATACCACTTCTGCCAGCTCTCGCTGTACGGCCCACTCTGGAAGGTAAGGAGACTCGTCATCATCACATCACATCAACAGCCTATAAGTGGCCACTGTTGACCAAAGACCTCTTGTCACACGGAGAAGGTTTGAGCATGAATCATCACACTTGCTCAATGCGGGTTGGCGATTTCAAACTTATAATTATAAATTATAAAGTTCCGGTTTCGTAGCGATGTTTTCATTCGTCGTTTAACAGTGTTGTCTTAATAAAGTACATATAACTGGAAAAGTCGCATTGGTACTTGCCGTTGGTAGGTTTCGAACGCAACCTCATGCATAAGAAGCGGGCGTTTTAAACCTCCGGGCAACCACGACATACGTATCGTTATCATCGACGACCTACAAATGCCCAGTGCTGGGCAAAAGCTATTTCTCGCATAGAGAAGGTATGAGCATTAATTACAACACTTGGTCATTATAATATGAAATTATAAGTATAGGTTTCCTAATGTTCGTTTTACCATATTCCAGTCATATTTACTTAGAAAGCACATAAAATATAGATCCATTAGTGAAAAATATTGCTAAAACTCATCTTTTTTTTTATGAATAGGTAGGCAAACGAGCAGATGGATCACCTGATGGTAAGCGATCAGCGCGCCGCCCATGAACACCCGCAACACTAGAGAAATTACAGGTGCGTCTCCGGCCTTTTTAAAAGGAATACGCTCTTTTCTAGAAGGTTTGAAGGTCGTATCGGTTCTTAAAAATTAGGAGCAAGACAGATACCTACCTGTGAATATATTCCTTAGGTTCCAAAGGTAGTTTGTGATTGACAACTAAGTCCACTGTTGGTATGTCTAAACCTCTCGCAGCCACGTTGGTGGCCACCAGGGTACATTTGAGGTTACTTCGGAACTGGGTCAATGCTGCTACCCTTTCCTTTTGTCGCATGAAGCCATGTAGGCAAACATTGTCCATGGATATTGCGTTCAACATCATTGATAGGACTTGGCATTCTCTGGAAAGAAAATGGAATATAGTATAGATGCCTTATGTTTAATAGTTATTTAGAATAGGGTAGATGCCTTATTTTAATTTTAATGTCCGTCTGGTAGATTATTTTAAATCATTAGACACGTATTTTTTATTTCCTTACAGAAACGAATACTTTCGATGATATATTGATTTGAAATGTCTCGTGACGTCACTTCTATGTCCATTTTTTACGTAGAAATGACGTTTTAGCTCCCACTCCTAAACCCTGATTCGTTTTATCTAAGTATTGTTTTATTATACGACAAAATAAAAAAATACGTGTCTAATATTATTTCATTACCTAACTGACAGACTAATTATATTTTTAATTTTCATACCCTATCATCATCCCTATTAGTAGTGTGTACAGCCTGTGACAAAACCACAGCTGGACTATGCGCCTCCTTTACGTAAGAGGGCACGCTCGGCAGACGGGTAGATAGCTTATTGATGGGACCTAATGGTAAGCAATCGGCGCTGCCCATGGACTCCCGCATCACCAGAGGCGTTACAAGTGCGTTGCCAGCCTTTAGCGGATTAGGAATTTGGGGATTGGGGAGATTGGGGAATATAGTCTTATAGTAAAAGGAAAAATGTACATGAACTTACTTCTTAGTATCAGTAAACACAATGATGTGGCTGCTTGGTTTAGTCTCGCGGTATTTGCGTAACGTTTGTACTAGGTACACGTCGCGAGCGTACGCGGGACACACTACGTATCGCTGGTCCAATGTTGATACTGTCAACTGGCTGTCTGTCTCCGTCCATGTTAGAAGTTTCTAGAAAATTATATTATAATTGAGTTTTTAGTTTTATCAACCAGCCTATCACTGTCTCATTTTGGATCTTACTGTACATGTAAAGGTCAGTTTATACTGGTTTAGCTGGTGATGTGTAGCTGTATGTAGTTACATAAATTATATATATTTTTTTTTAAGGGGGGAAAATCATCGAATGACTGCTCCCGCCTGGATGAGGCGGGAGGGAGTGTCAGACTCTTACTGACTAAAAACCACCCTGTTCCTTCTCCTGTACGTCGAGATGGAGCCCCGGTTACCCTTTAGGTTCTCTGCGGCACAAATTATATAGATACTATTCTATAAATGAAATAACTCACATCTTTGTTAAGTGGAAGTATTTTGGATTCCCGGACATCTTCAGTGATTGTGGCTGAGAACAACAAGTTCTGTCGTTTTGCTGGTAATGCATTGAATATTGTCTCCAGGTCATCTTGAAACGATTCACTGAATAATCTGTAATAATACACATAAGGTTATGAGGTAGGTACTTAGGTACTATGGGCAATAATAGTTTGTTCAACAATTCATGTTGAAAAACAGGGGCCATTCAAGTATTACATAAGCACCATGGGGGGTGGGCTCCCTGTTTTGCTTATTTCGGATGATATGGGTGTAGGGGAGTCTAAATGATGATTACGTCATGGGTTATTTACTTTTTTACACGAATGGCAACCCTCATATAGAAAATATAAATTAAAAGCAAAAACCGACAAAAAACGAGACATTATGGTATTTGGAGAATATTAAATTACAATAAAAAAAGATATAATTTAAAAAGTTAACGTAAGCAAAGGGGGAGGGGGTAAGACCTTTGCTTACTTTTGCTGACAAGGGGGGTGGGGGGTAAATAATTGAAAAAATCTTCTTACGCAATATTTGAATGGCCCCAGTCAACAAAAAATTACAAAATGATTAGTTGAAAGGTTTTTGGTTTTTTTTTAATATACTTAAAGTATGAGTGATATATGTTTGTAAAATAAATTTAAATAACTAATTTTTGTTTGTATTGTTTTTGATAAAACAAGCAATACTTTCTATTATCCTCTATTTTCTATTATCCAAACATCATTAAACAATATATTCATTAGGTACCTATTTAAAATTATATCGTCAATTTCTTTAATAAGATTTTCCACACCAAAATTTATTTAACACTTATCATACAATCTATAAGTTTACCTGTCAGCCTCATCAAGGACTAGATACTTGATCTTTTTCAAGCTGAAGGTGTCACAACCAGTAATATGATCGGCCAGTCGTCCTGGCATTGCAACCACGATGTGAGGACGCTTGGCTAGTTTGAGAGATTCCTCTAACTGGTCTGACCCTCCGGTCACTATGCACACTCTTAGCTTTAATGGCTGACCCAAGATACTGAACTGGTCAGCGATCTGAAATTAAAAAATAATTTATTTTGCTTGCCAAAATTGGTTTGAACTTTGATCCCCAGGATTAATAAAATATTATTGTCAGAAGTATTATGAAGAAGAAAATTATTGTAAAACAAATTACCAATAGTGGACACAAAGCATACCAAAAATATAACTAAAAAAGTAAAATACACCTATCCCTTTAAAACTGCAAAAAACCAATGTCAATGTAAAATCTTTGGGTTTATGTAGAAATCTCTACTATGTATAATCATGAATATGAGCCTCTAGCATGGCTTGAAACTAGTCGAAATCCTCATCAAATTATTACGTGAGTCAGCCGAAAACATAATAATTTATTTAGTATGTCTCACGAAAGATACAATACAAAAATCTCTACTGTTACTGAAAAACCTAGGTTTTCCTCTATTAATTCTCTATTAAATTTCTCAATTATCTACTAAATCTCTATTAAATCTCTAGTAATTTTGGTTGTTTGAAAATAGATGTCAAAATTACCTGATAAGCCAACTCATGTGTAGGAGTAAGTACTAAGGCAAAGATCCCGTATGGATCTTCAGCCAAGTGTTGCAATATAGGGAGTGCAAATGCAAAAGTTTTGCCTGAACCTGTCTTAGCCGCTCCAATACAGTCGTCGCCAGCCAGTATACGAGATATACAACCTTTTTGAATAGGTGTAGGACTTCTAATACCTGTAAAAAAGGTGAAATATCCATAGAAATTGAACTGATATTACTTAACGTGAATAAATCAGATTAGCGAAATTTACGAATACTAGCTTTTGAAACAGTAAACTTAAATAAAATAGTATAACAGTTACATACACCAAATTTCAGTATAGAAAATTAGTATAAAGTTACAGCATTGCGTTTTAAACTGTCAAACACCAAGCGGTCACCGGTGACCGCAAGCTATTGTTCTATAATTGTGTCTACAAAACCGGTACTCGACGAGTTAAACGAGAAATTGAGATTTATTTACAGGCACAGGTGTAACATACCGAGATTAAATAGCTCCTTGATGAGCCATGTCTTGACACCAAGTCCTGCAAACTCTTTGCCATCGTTTTCATTCATTTTTGCACAAGTTTACACTTTTTAATCAAACATATAAATTGATAAATTAACACAAAATTAACCACAATACGAACACAAAATGCACGTAGCACGCACCACACGAGTTCGTTTGACGTTTCATAAATAAATGTCAACGACGAATCCCAATCCATGTGATTTTGACAGTGACGTTTTAATACTCGTTCAAAAATGACTCTTTCGTAAGTTTTACGGCTTTTTTGATAACGCATTTAGATCAGAACGCAGATCGGAAATAATTATCAAAAACTGTAAAAAGGAGATAAAAGTTGGTTTGCAAGACATATTCATTTATTAATCTTTATATAACTGTTATTCTTAGGTTTTGTAGTTACGTATTGAGATGCCAGCTGTAAAATAGAAAATACTAAAATACTTTTTTATCCTGTCCGCACTTCGTGTTTGTCACGCACGTCAAGTCGTCAAATCACGCATCGGGAGCGTGCGTGTTTCTTGCTTTTTATTAAAATAAATTTAGTGAGTGCAGTGTTACCTCTGTTCCATCGTGTAGTTTCTCTCAAGTTTTATTCCGTTGCAATTATTCGATTTTTGGTGATACAGTTTTTAAACTGAACCAGTAAGTTAATGTGTTTACTAATTTAATAGAGTAACTGTACAAAGTTCTGCAATATCTACTTTGTGCACCATATACTCGCCGGCACGAAAGGAAATTGTAACTTGTTAACTAATATGGCCCCAGTAGTTCATAGATACGTTTTAGTTAAAATTATTGCCGTAGTTATTTATTTTTATGTCATAATTTACGATTACGGGTAGGTAAACATACATCATGGATGGTCTCTATTTTTGTGTTGCACATAAAATATTATTTCAGATATTTGTTCAAATCTTAAAATGAATTCATGAAAGTGGAGCACATATAAATATGTATGAACTCCATCAAGCAATTTTTATGTAATAACATTATTCTTTGTGTTTGTGTAATAACATGGTAATTATTAAAAAAACGTACTCTGTAGATACTATCTAAATACGTAATCTATGTCACAATTGGGCCAATTTAAAAGTATACCCAGTAGATTTTATGTTTAGCTTCAACTTATCCCTACAATGTTACATTGCAAGAAGAATCTTTAATATAAATTAATTGGAAACATTTATAATGCACCTATTTATTATTATAAATTCTGTGAAGTAAATATAAACTGATAAAATAGTATTTATTTTTTGTATGAATATTAGAAAACCATTGCATGATGAGCTGTATAAAAATTAGAATACCATCCATTGAGTTCCATAGCTTTATTTTTCTTTTATTTAGAAAACTTGAGTCTAGTAAAAAAAAAACTTATTGTCTAACTTATATTATTAGTACATAACAATTTCTTAAACCTTTAAATAATAATTTAAGCTCATTAGTCTGAAGACAGAAAATAAAAGTATAAGTAATGTATATTGTCATAAGCATTATTTTCCTAATTGCATAGAATGTTTCCAATAAGATTTACAAATTACAGTAGGTATCAGTTGTTATCTAATTATGCATATAAATATAAAATAATATATTTTATTAATAATAATAGGTATTGTCTTTGCCATGAGTAACATTTTCAAGGCCATATTGTATAGTTGACTTTGTGTCCCTGAAGTAGAGTAGCTAATTCTACTAATTATCAGTAAAAAATAAAATAAAATTTAGTAAAAATATTTCAATTTGATGTTAACTTTTTCAATAATATTTTTTCACGTAATATGATTAGTTGAAAATTATCACATTCTTTAAAAAGAAACGAAAATTTATTCTACCTCAGGCAGTCTCAGCAGCAGGCATGCTTCCTATTACAAAACAAAGGTCTCAAAATACACATACTAGCTACTTACTTCCGCGCAGTCTTCACTCAGTTACTGTTGATGGCAGCATGATTTTAATACTCTATAACCTTCCTTGATAAATAGACTATCCAAAATAAAAATAATTTTACAAATCAGGACTAGTAGTGCTTGAGATTAGCGCATTCAAAAAAACAAACTCTTCAGTTTTATATTTGTTTATGCTTTTAATTAATCCATTCTGTTTAGTACCAGTATTTTACAAGTATGGTAGTTGCGCCAGAGCCCAGAGGCCATAGATCAATGTGCCATGTAACGCTGATTGTTTCAGTCTGAAAGCGTTATTCATTACAATTGTAAATAAAAACATTCACCTAATTTAATTCAAATGACTATGCAGGTTGAGTTCCTAATTATAATGTAAAGTTCCTTTTTAAATGTAATATTGATTAGCTTCTTGATCGTCGCTTCACCCTCTGCTCCCATTGATCGTGGCGTGATGATTTAAAGCCTGTAGCCTTCTCCGACAAATGAACTATCCAACACAAAAACGATTATTCAATTCGAACCAAAAGTTGCAAAAATTAACACATTCAAACATACAAACTTTTTGATTGATATACCTATTAGTATATGTAAATCTATTATAATTATATAAATAAGTTGGGTTTTCCTTCCTGATGCTATAACTCCAGAACACACGAACCAATTTCCACAGTTTTGCATTCATTGGAAATCTGCTTACCTCACAGAGAATAACTGTTGTGATGTTACACAGTGTTATATCACCAAGTAGTGTTCAAAGTGTAGCCCTTATCTAGAGGACTTTAAGATCACAATATTTATAGATTATGGACTTTGAATCTGCATTCCAATTTGTAAATATAACATTATGAATGTAAAGTTGTTATAAACACACTTATTACTGTTTATGGTCTAATGATAGAATACTATTAGGTACATAATGTGCCTCCATAAGGATGTGCTGTAACAGGTGTTGCACCGTGGGGTCTCCGGAGCAGGTCTCTTTTAGAGGACCCGGTGCCCCTTATAGGTGTTGAGAATGACCTACGGCATATATTTTAGTGCGGTATAATCCCACATTTCGTAATCGTTCTCCCCAAAAAGCTAGGCGAAGGTTTCTTATTCGTCATAAAAAAGTATATAATGTGCCTATATCTGGATCTGGAGTCATATGTAAGATTTTCTTGTTACTTGTTAGTTGAGTTTTTGAATTTTGTTTCAGAGTTAGACTAATGAAGAGGGCATTATCAGTTAGACAGTTCAGTGTTTCTCAGCCATAATGTGACAACTCAATAGATACAAATGTTAATCAATACATAGTATAAAACAAAGTCGCTTTCGCTGTATATCCGTATGTATGCTTAGATCTTTAAAACTACGCAACGGATTTTGATGCGGTTTTTTTTAATAGATAGAGTGATTCTTAAGGAAGGTTTGTATGTATAATACATGCATATTGCACCCGTGCGAAGCCGGGGCGGGTCGCTAGTAATCTATACTAATATTATAAAGCTGAGTTTGTATTTTTGTTTGTTTGTTTGAACGTGCTAATCTCCGAAACTACTGGTCCGATTTGAAAAATTATTTCTGTGTTGGATAGTCAATTTATCGAGGAAGGCTATATAATATAGGCTATAAAATTATCACGCTATGATTAATAGGCTCCGAGCAGAGAAACTGAAAATGCGCGAAAGTAGCTAGTCATTTATATGTAGACGTAGCTTTAGAGGAATATAGTTAACACAGTTATACGAAAAAACGTATCTAAGGAAGATTTGCTGTTTAAATCCCATCTTGTAATCACAGGAACTATGACCTGGATTTTTTTTTGTTATCCTAGACTGTAATCAATCCCTGTTCTAAATTTAATCCCGATCCTTACAGCCGTTTTGACGTAATTGAGTAACAGACACACAGACAACCTCATTTATAATATTAGTTAAATCTGTACAATTTTAGTATTAACTCTACTGTTTGACACAATACCGGATGGTACCGAAGCAAGGCGCTAGCCATTTAGTTGTCACCGCGAGGCTATCGAACCCGCGACCCTGATCTCAAAACGTTACGTATCACCAATAAAAACAATTGGCCACTTGTAGGCACGTGTTACATTGGCTCACTCGGTTTTAGAACATATAGAAACCCAAGTAAACTTAGTACCAAACTAGATAACTAGACTTAAGTATGTACTAAATGAAAATGTAATAATGTTTAAATTTTTTTTTTATGGCATAAGCCGGTAAACGAACAGACGGATCACCTGATGGTAAGCAATTGGCGTCGCCCATGGACACCTGGAACATCAGAAGCGTTACAAGTGCGTTACCGGCCTTTTGGGGATTAAGAGTTTGAGGATCGTTGGGGATTCAGGAATTGGGGAGATTGGGGAAGGGGAGGGTAATTAGGCCTCCGGTAACCTCACTCACACGACGAAACACAATGCAAGCGTTGCTTCACGTCGGTTTTCTGTGAGACCTTGGTATCACTTTGACTTTGACAAGTTCACATACACATGACATGCAGACCCGGAACTACAATTTGTGGATCACACAAAGAGTTGCTCCGTGCGGGAATCGAAACCGCGTCACGTTGCGTGACAGCCGGTTGCCCAGCCACCGCACTAACTGTGTTGTCAAATGTAATGGGCTTCGCATGTTGGATGCTTTCATTCCAGACAATAGGCTACCTTAAAACTATTAAGTAAATAAGTATCTCAGATTAACTAAAATTGCCTACATTTCATTCAGACAATAAAATTACAATGTTCACTCATCAAATGCCATTTAAAGGGACATCTTGTCGCTCAGTCTCCGCAACAGTATTTTAAATAATTTTATGTGAGTCATTTATATCCATAGTCTCTAGCCGAAAACTATCATTCGTTTCTTATTTAGTCTTCTAATCAGATTATTAAGGAGGGAAATATTATGGGACTTAGAAAGTATTCCAGTTTTAAAAATTGGTAATTTTGTAGATTTTGATGTGGTCCGCTCGTGCCGCCATCTTGGAAAAATGGCGGCCAAAACCTTTTTTATAGTATTTCTTTTCCCGTGCATTTTACGAGAAAACCGTTAACTACGAAACAAAATCTACAAAATTTCCGATTTTCAAAACTTCTGGAAACATTCCGGGTAGAACTACCAAATTACTGAACTGATCTGCGATTAATTTAGGTATTTATTGTTTACAGGTAATTCTAAAAATGAGTGCCTTAAAGAATGCGGTATCTTTAGCCGTAAACCACGGCAAACTTGGACTGAGAAGTAATGGAAAGACGGTAAGTTATGTTTATTACTTCTTCATTAGCATCATCTTCATCATCAGCATCATCATCATCAGTAGATACGGATCAGAATTCACTTGCTCCCTTCAGGGATCCCCTTAGTCGAAGTGAAACGAATACATTCCTAGCCCATCGGGCAGCAGTCCTTCGAGCGATTTTGCAAACTTGGTATGTCGAACTGCCGTACTCAAGATATATTTAATGATTACTCTTAAACTATTCATTGGTAACGATTTTGTTCCAAAACTGCTCGAGGTGGCCTCGTTGGCCGTGTGGTCGCAAGTGCGACTGCCGGGCAAGGGGTCTCGGGTTCAATTTCAGGCCAAAGTATTACTGGGTTTAAAAAAATCTCAGTAGTAGCACGGAGCCTGGAATGTGCCCGGTATATGGCAATAGGCTCACTCCCTATTACATTGGACTCATAACATAAAGAGCGAAAAGTGGGTGTTACATTGTAGTGGCATTAAGTGCTATAATATTATGTATATAATTCCTCTTAGTACGGGGGTTTGGTTCTTTGGTGACTCCCCACATTTTTAATTTTCGCACATAGAAACCCAGACTCTCTAGCTCTCTTCTACATCATGCGCTGAGCGACTCCAAGTCTTTCTAGCAGGAGGCAAAAATTACTATTACATAAGTATCGTCTGTCTGTCCCTATGTATGCTATCTTTAAAACTACGCAATGGATTTTGATGTGGTTCTTTTTAATAGATAGAGGGATTCTTAAACTGTCAAACACCAAGCCGTCGCCGGTGACCGCAACCTATTGTTCTATAATTGTGTCTACAAAACCGGTACTCGACGAGTTAAGGAAGCTTTATATGTGTAATAAGTGCATATTGCACCCGTGCGAAGCCGGGGCGGATCGCTAGTTTAGATATATAGGACAGGACATGTTAAAGGTAAACAATATATTTTTTCAGTTGCATTTTTATCGAACCGAAAAGCTTAATTATTGATATGTTATAAAATGCATCCAAAAGGAAGAAATGTTATCGGATAAATATGCAATCAATATAATACGTGTACATACAAATTCATTTATTAAGTGATAAGTACGAAGCTACGAACGACTGTATTACGTAAATGCATCCAACTGTGGACTTTGGACGATTAAAACAAATAATAGACTTTTGTATCCAACTACTGATGGTATGGAACCTCTATTCAATTCACAGATCGCCGAAAGTATTATTGATATCGTAGGTCGTAGGTAACTGGAGTAAAGTACATTTCATGTTTTAAAAACATAAATAAACTATGCCAAATACATTTTTAGGAAAATTCCTATTTGATAAGTAAAATACGTCAAATACCTTACTGCGTTTTACATTTCTTCGCACAAAACCTTAATTTTTAACCTCAACCACGTACTACATTTTTTTTATTGCATAAACCCGTAAACGAGTAGACTGATCACCTGATGCCCCTGATGGCAACCAATTGGCGCCGCCCATGGACAACCGAATCATCAGAGGTGTTAAAAATGCGTTACCGGCCTTTTAAGAATTAAGAATTTGAGGATTCGGCGATTGGGAGATTGGAGAGGGGGTAATTGAACCTCTTGTAACCTCACTCACACGACGAAACACGACGCACAAGTGTGGTTTCACGTCGGTTTTCTGAAAAGCCGTGGTATCACTCCGGTCGAACCGGCCCATTCGTGCCGGAGCATGGCTCTCCCACACTTAAATTTACTCAACTTTGCCAAAGAAAAAGGACAGTTATGAGTTTGATGACAAATTATCTCCTCTGCATACAGGACCTACATTAACATGGATGTATGAACGATACGTCGCATTTAATAATTTCCGTATAATGTGCACTTGGCAACTAATGTATGGGCGAGCGTCACTATCACGTGGCTATGCAATGCGCCGGCGCACCATTGAGTGCGTATTGCGTTTTACGTTGTTTATGAAATAGGTTACTGGGTGTTGTACTAGAAAAATGTGTCTGCACTTGAATTATTCAAGGTTATTTTCCATACTCTACGTTTAAAAGCAATGTAGGTAATATAAATTAATTATTAGCTACATTTTTATAAAGGTAGGTCCTTGATAAGACATACGAAAATTCTGCATCTAGATCAATGTACTTTTTGCTTAATTTTTCCTATATAAGTATAGACTATTTATCATCTATACTTATATTCATCAATATAAGTATAGTTAGTTTTCCCAAAATACAGAATGTTCAACCAAAAGATTTCCCCCCTTGTTACCTATTTAGGATGTTACTATCTCGAAAATATGCACATCGACATGCTATGCTACTGTTTGTTTGGCGCCATTTTAGTTATTTATATCGAAACATGCATAGACGTCATTCACTCATTACATAGTTGCACTGCGATTTATTTATAATTCTATTTCACTTTTGAACTTTGATGGTCATTCATGGTCAAGGAGAGATAACACCATCTAGTATTAGAGCATCACACCAGATTTTCCATAGAGGTTAAGTCGGAGTTATAGTTTTGGCCCATATTTCAACTTACCATAATAAACATTCTCTCCCCAACCCCAAGGCCTAATTCTCCGGCACCTTCTTAACCAATCTCTGAATTTCAAATCCCGGAACGGCAAAATCGGCCGGTGTCCATGGGTGGCCACGATTGCTTGCCCCAGTTAATCCGTCTGCTCGCATAATAAACTTATTATTATAAGATACACGTAAGTATATGGATAACCAACTCAATCAATCCTTGGATATTTGGGTGCCTTGTGAGTCAAACTCTGAACCTTATGGTAGACCAGCCTATACAGATTGTTAATAATAGATGTAATACGATTGTCATAGTGCTATGACAATATTATTGTCTCAAGTCGAGTACTAGGCTAGCAGGAGTAAACAGGAACTGTTTTCACACCGTGCACAAACAACGCAGTTGCCAAACATTTCATTGCAAATGTTGAACCTTACGTACTAAAAATAACAGCTGGTAACCTATGTTCTGTTTGATAGACGGCTTTAGTTACTGCAATTTAAATATTTACTTACGAGTGAACAGAAAACCGACGTGAAACAACGCTGTGTTTCGTCGTGTGAGTGAGGTTACCAGAGGCCCAATTACTTCCTCCCCAATCCCCGAATCCCCAATAATCCTCAAATTTCTAATCCCCAAAAGGCCGGTATCGCACTTGTACTACCTCTGGTGTTTTGGGCGACCATGAATGAATAATGTAAATGAGCAGACGGATTGCATACCACCAGGCGATCCGTCTGCTCGTTTACCGGCTTATTCCATAAAAACACAATAGTTTCCACAAGCACTTCTTTTGTGGAAAGGTTCTCCTCTCCTTTACCTCCTCCTTACAAAAACTTCTAAAGAATTACGATCTCCTGTAAGGCTTTGACTGCCTACAGGAAAATATTGAAAGTTAGCCACGTGTTACATAAAGACGACCTTTGTCCTCACGTGAATAAAATCGTACGTAATTTATTTGATAGTATCAATCATCCATATTCATGGACTTGTCTTGGTGATTCAAAACAATCAACGGTTGTTCTCTACGGTCGCGTGGAAACTGCCAATGTTACTTAGTTATCATCATTTGTAGCCAATCAACAGGCACGCGCACTCCAGATGATTTGCTCATTGTTGCCTGTAAATTATTGTAATTGCGAACCAATATTGTGTGTTGTTTTAGTACCTCTTTATCCTATAAAACTAATATTGTACCTAACTGGTTCCTGCAATGTACCGCTAGCTCATGTTATTATAAGTTCCATTAATTAAAGAATCTTGCTTATATTCCGCAGAAGTATTGGTAGAGACATAATTCTAAACCACTGTTTGCTATATTAGGGCCCTGTTAGTTTAATCAAGTCGGGGTTCAAGGATTCTTAAATGTCCATATTGACCAGACCATATTGATCATAGCCTCTATCTACTTCTCTTCTCTATCCGAACATTCCTAAACAACCAGAAAACGTACCATCTTCATTCCATTTCAAACCAAATTGTGAAAAGACGTAGAAACGAATTTGTGCAGTGCATTATCTTCTAATAAAGGTAGATTTTCGCTGACGTCAGTAGGACGTGTCGTATAGTACACAAAACTCGTGGGTTGCACGCATTGCATAGATGATACTTATGAGCTTCAACAATGAATTGTCGATACCTATTTAAGTAATGAATGATTTATGAACGCCTGCGATAAGGCACGGTTACTTTTTTGTTATAAGTGTATTCATGATATCAATTCTATTTCTTCTGTTTCTTTGTTTCGATGTTAACTGTGCTATCTATGTGATAGTCAGCGATAGTCCTGCAGCTGTAGCTAAATGCCATTTAGCGCTTGTATACTTGAGAAAACTAAATTATATGGAATTAACGTAAATTTTCACACTTGTCAGTGTCATCCCCGTACATTTTGATTTTGCTACTCTCTCTGTAGACAAGCGCTAAAGTGGCGATTGGCTAAAGGCACAGTTCATAGATTTGGTGAATGTTGACGAAATATACCAACTCACTGTAGAGGAGACAGTTTTCCTCTACTTCGTGGTTGCTAATGCTAATGGAACTATTATATTATCCTGGTTCTGGTTAAAACTTTTTTGAGAAACAAATATTTTTTTTTGTAAGTCTGAAATCTAATGAATACCAATACATACATAAAGGACGTTGAAAAAAGTACTGGATGATGACATGTTGATAATGGGAATACAAATGCTTCTCTCCTTCCGAAATACAGTTACTCCAGTATTGTTACTGCATTTCCTTGATTAGTTGACGTATAAAACTATCAAGACGTGATGATTAAACAACGTGTCACGCGCGGGCGGTTTGGAAAGTCTCAAGACTGTACATCTCAATCCATTGCTGCTCTAAAACATATAGGTACTGACAGAGATGATTCCAATAGAAAAACTAGACCACTAGATCTGTCGCGGAGAACCTAGCGGGTTACCGGGGCTTCGGCTCGAAGTGCAGGAGTAGGAATGGGGTGATTTTTAGTAAGAGAGACACTGTAAGAGTCTGACACTCCCTCCCGCTTCACCCAGGCGGGAAAAGTCATTTGATGATTTTCCCCCTTTAAAAAAAATTACCACTGGACCTACTGGTAATTATACCAGATGTAAGTTCCAAATCATACAAGTTCATTAACCTCTTGTCTGTCGATAAATGAGATACAATAGAAAATGAAAGAAATTGTGTTTCGCGTAGATCTACGCTATGACATACCAGAGATTAAAGATTGTTTCCTAAAACTTTCCTTAAAAAATTGCTCACCCCTGTTTCTGCTTCAAGCGATATACACTCTATTTTTATCCACAAACGCATTAGTTACAAAATTTGTAAACAATCCTATATTCGTCATGCATCATCAGACATTTTATGTCATAGATAAGAGAATATAAATTGATATTACAATAACTTAGCCAGTTATGTCTGATTTTAAGTATCGCATCGTATCACAAAAGTAATGTATTTCAATCCGAAGATAGCGTCGCCAAATAACATTGATAGTAAATTTATCTATGGGGCTTGGGAAATACATGAAACATAATTCAATTATTCATATTATATAGGTAATGAAAATATTTTAAAAATAAGGTAAAATCATAGTCAGAATCGGAGACCCAGAGTAATTTTTATTTTATGGCAAAATAATATCGTAAACGCTTTTGGCTATTACTTATCAGGTAGACTACACACGTCGGAGTCGCGGAGAACCTAACGGGGTACCGGGGCTCTGGCTCGACGTGCAGGAGAAGGAACGGGGTGGTTTTTAGTCAGTAAGAGGCTGACATTCCCTCAGCTTTACCCAGGCGGGAGCAGTCATGTAATACATAGATATTATTACGTCCCTATGCACAGTTAAACGCTAGAGTTACTCTCGTTCAACCTAAACATTTAAAATGGTACATAACAAAGGCGGTTACATAATTTTTACCGACAATCATACCTTTTTTGCCACCCGTCTCGCACTTGGCCGAGCCGTTGACTCGACTGACATTGAACTTGAGCTCCATAGCTGTACTGCAAGTTACGAAACCAATTACCTACAGTACCTGTGTAATTAGAATTGTGTATAACAAGCAGGTTGTATTCTAGACCAGTTTGTTAATGGCGTTGGTGGATTTTTTATTCTCGAACGCACTTAGTTTAAAAATTTAATTACTGGCGGCCCTTCTGGCCTTATTCAGTGACAATTTTTTCGTATAACAATTTACAAATTATCTTATTTAATCGCAGAGGACTTGCCGGGGCTCCGGCTAGAAGTAGGAATTAACGGGGTGGTTCCTAGTCAGTAAGAGTGACACTGCCCCTCGCCTCACCCAAGGCGGGAGAAATCATTTGAGGAAATCATCCTTCAAAAAAGACATCTTATTTTGTGTAGCCATTCACGAGTTATACGCGTACATACATTTTGGAGTTCCTTTTTTGTTTGGAGTCATAAGCTAGGTTATATAAAGTCTTAGGCACTGTGGCACTGTAAAATATTGAATGAACAGTTTCCATTAATGATTTTATGTTTGGGAACTTAGTTCGTGGGTAAATAAAGTACAGGGAACTTTGTTGTTTCCAAAAAAGTCCTTTTTATGTCATGAAATTTGAATCGACGTACCTGTGCACATTCGCGTCTTTGATTTTATTAGTATTTAAATTAAATAAAATTCCGTTTCCTGCAGTGGCATGCAACCACAACTATTAGCTTATTTACAAAAATGTCGTCAAATTAACACGTGAACTTAAAGTAAAATCTAATTTAGATTATTATTTGTTTTGGCAGTTTCGGGAAAGGCCATTGTTATCAAAAACGTGTGTACAATCTTAGAAAGATAATTTTATAAATATAAGTCAATGCTAGGCATAACACAAACACGTGATAGGAAACTAATCTGTAAGTCACATCTAGTAGCAATTACAAAAAATTGTATCTTTCGGTAATAAGTTATTGATGACTAAATAAGATTTATGCAATTGTTTTCCTCAACTGTTGATTCACTAATTTTATAATCGTTTAAACTACATAAATATGTCATCCTAAGTATGACTGTTGTCATGTTTATTTACTGACGTGGATAAAAACAGCTAAATCAAGTACCTATTTTCTTATCAATTTGAATACAAAGATGATTTTTTAAACGACTATTAAATTCTATAGATTTAAGTGAAAAAAATAACTAGCTCCGACCACGATAGTTCATTTTATTTGTTTCATTAAATACAAATATTTCCTCTCACTCACTCAATATTTTCTCTCAAGGATGCAAGTCTTCTTTACCGGCCTTGTAATTAATGGTTCTGTGCATGAAGAAAACTTATATTTTACATGTCCGTCTCTTTACTATGATTAATCAAAAATGTGACCTGTATACTTAAGAATATAGTACAATATGTCTTGTTCTTTGTCCCCAGTCATTCCGGCCGCTGTTATCATGCGCCCCCGTGGCAATGGTTGCGCTGGACCGCAACGCGCATACACAGGACATCACCAAGAATATACAGTACATCAGCAACGATAAGATCAAGCTCAAAGCAGATCCGGCTACTATGAAGTAAGTACTCTTTTAGGAATGTCTAGAACTTGGATAAATATCCTTGGTTTGCTACATATTTTTTATGGGAATGGCCGGTAAACGAGCAAACGGATCACCTGATTGTAAGCAATCACCGCTACCCTTAAATATCCACAGCACCAGAGATGTCGTTACAAGTGCATTGCCGACAATGGAGTTTAGAGGTCCGAGGATGGGGAGACTTGTGGATTGAATGGGAATGGGACGTTTGTTTCTATGAACTCAGAAAACTTAGCACACTTTAAATTGAGTTTGTGTATCCGACAGATAGATTTTATTTGTTAACTGATATTTGAAGTATGCCACTTGGCTAACAGGCGTAGATTATAAACAGCGAGGAGTTTCGACTATTTCAAAGATTTTGGGACAAACACGTTTGAGAATCGAAGAAAATTGTTTCTTGGAGAGATGAAAGATTGAGACGTGTCGTTTATTAACAGAAGAAGGTTGCTAGGGTGTCAATAAAATGTCCGGAAAGTTAAATTTCAAAAGTTTCGAGTTCAAATTGTAAAAAATCCGTCCATTACGGGCCAACCAGGTTTAATTGAAAGATATTCTCAGTTCGCAATGCAGACATCACGTGATGCCATTTGTCAAACATTACGCAATTCTATTGGTACACCCGTGTGATATAATTACCTTCTATTTGTATCGTGTTGAATCGGGAGCCAATCGGGGAAGTGGGTCGATTTGACGACTGGTCTGGTGATCTGTTGCCATTTTTCGTCCAATCTCGTCATCATTACGTCCTATTCTCCAATTAGTGTCACTATTTTGTTGCTAGCTACGGTCTCTGCTTCATTGTACTAAGTTGGTATCTGGACAGGTGTAACTTTATTTCGGGATCAACTATGGTGCAAAAAATAGAAGTAAATCACCGGCATCGCCCACGGAAGCCCGCACCACCTGTAGAGTAACAAGTTGCTAACCTTTTGGGGATTTAAGGAAGGGGGGGACTTGGGACTCCGAAAATTACGCGTGGAATGTTAATTTCAACGCATCTCATTATCCTACCTCTTTTAAAATATGTAGCTAATGAGAAATAATGGATAGCATCAAATAATGGATAGCATCAAATAAACGAACTCTTTGGACTGTTCAAATTAGCGGAGATCCTCAAAATGGATATCACCTATTGAGTCAATTCGCTTGTTTAGTTAATGGCAGGCTAAATGGCAAACGCACGCGTTGTTGACCAGTTGGCTAGATACTGCAATTTGATCGTTTTTGTTCGAGAAAATATGTACGTTTGTAGACATGTAATGACAAATAATGTAAAATGATTTCAACGTTTTTAGGTTTACGCGAAATTTAATAATGTGATTTATTTTCTTTGTAAATCCTTTTCGGGCGTGGGCTTCGTCAATAATGTGGGTCTATATTTTCCACTTATATATCTTATACTCTTATACTATTATATAAAGCGGAAGAGTTTTTTTTGTTTGTTTGTTTGAACGCGCTAATCTCCGTAACTACAAGTCTTATTTGAATAATTCTTTTTGTGTTGGATAGCGCATTTATCGAGGATGGCTATAGGCTATAAAACATGACGCTACGACCAATAGGAGCTAAGCAGAGCGTGTGAAACCGCGCGAAAGTAGCTATATATGATACGTATATACAAAGCAAGCAAAAGACGCAATGGTCTCTCGACTCATAAACATGAACAGCAGCTGTGTATTGTATGTAGTTGTATAATGTACTAAGAATATCTCCTCATTGTCACCAGGCTGGACAAACCCATCGAGAAACCTCTGTGTATAATGATTAACTGGCTCTTGGCCAGACAGAAGCACGTGATGAAATACGCCACGCTGTACCTGGAGCAAGGCTTCGACGTAGTCTCCGTAGCCTGCACGCCATGGCAGCTCATGTGGCCAGTCAAAGGAACTCAGGTAGATGGAATATTCAACTTTAATAATAAGTAGATTTCGTTGAAAATTGAACAAGAGTATAATATTGTGAAGCAATGCTTTTTCTTCTTTGTACCTATAGAAGCAAGGTTGAATATTAAGAAATAACCGGTTATTTTCAATCAATTGTAATTTTGATGATAATTTTCAAAATAGGTAATGACTATGATAATCCACCTTAAATGGCTTAGTTTTAAAGATTATTTTACCTTGCAGTTGGTGGCTGGAGATTTGATTAAGTTCATGGCTATGAACGACACTGAGCACCCATTGGTTGTGCATGGGTTCTCTGTTGGAGGCTACATGTGGGGCGAAGTCTGTGCCCACGTCATGAAGAATAAGGAACAGTGAGTTTCCTTGTATTATCCAAATAATTATATGAAAGTACACTGTTGAACTATAAGCCTCCTCTACATAAAAGGGGATTTTCATAATCTCCAAGCTTGACAGGCGGATTGAAAGTCCAAGTTTAAAAATTTCTAATTAATCAGAGCTAACATCATGAATATGAGCTCCCGCTTGACTTGAAACTAGTCGAGATATATTTTTTTTGTTAATGTATACAATAGAACAATATAATTTCATCGTCAGATACCAACCGGTAATGGACAGAGTGGTGGCCCAGGTTTGGGACTCGGCGGCGGACATCAGTGAGATCACCATCGGTGTACCTGCAGCCGTCTTCCCTAAGAACCAGATTATGCAGAAGACACTACGAGCATACATGGAGTGAGTACCTTGTTTCTTTTAAAGGTTAAGGCAAGATGAGTGACCGGCCACTGTGTTATTTCGTTGAATAAACAAGTGCGAAAGAGAGTGTGACGATCCTTATTGGCTGAAATTAATAATAATAATTCATAAATTATTATGTTTTCGGCTTACTCACGTAATAATTTGACGAGGAACTCGACTAGTGCCATGCCATGCTAGAGGCTCATATTCATGAGCAACATTTCGCGATCCGCGACGCAGCGACTGTCGCGATGCTACTCTATTACGTGAGTAAACCAAAAACATAATAATTTATTTAGTATGTCTCACGAAAGTTACAATACAAATAATAATTCAATTCAAAAACTTAGGATTAGGGTCAGAAACTTCATTCCATACTACTAATGTCAAAATGATTGATTATTGATTTCGGTTAAGCATCAATTCCTGCGCTTATGTTTCTTTTAAAAATAAAAAACAAACGAAGTACGAAGATATAAAGAATAACAGAAAGTGACACGCAAACGACACGTGCGCGCAATCTAAATATACCTAAGATTATGTAATTTGATAAATAAAAAATTCCACGCGATTAGCTCCTTTTTGACCTACAAATGACATAGATATTAAAGATAATTTTTTTGTATGCATTTTTTATGACAACCTGATGTTGTCACGCGGTTTCGATGTGATGTAAGATTAAAAATAAATAAAATAGAGATTTTTTAAAATACAACTTTAAAGATTGACGCGGAATTAAACGTAAACGTAAATAAGATGTCGCGGAGAACCTAACGGGTTACGGGTTACCGGGGCTCCGGCTAGACGTGCAGGAGAAGGAACGGGGTGGTTTTTAGTCAGTAACAGTCTGACAGTTCCTCCCGCCTCACCCAGGCGGGAGCAGCGATTCGATGATTTTCCCCCGTTAAAAAAAACGTAAATAAGATACTAAACGATATCTATAAAAAATACAAATTCCTTCAAAATCTATTCAGTAGTTTTAGAAATTGACCCGTTTAAACTTTTTTCTTTTTTAACACACCGGACAACACATATAATTTTTATTTAACTAAAGATAATGTAGAAGGATGTGATAGCAAAGATTAAGTCTATATAGTTACTAAGCTAAGCATAGGTACTTGATCCGTGGCGACTGGCGGGTCAAACTGTTAGCGGTCAAAGTCCAATTAGATCGAGTCTACTAGTTTTTACGTAATGTTGACGATCTTATGACTTACTTAAGGTGCATGCTTCGTCCTTGCGGATTTTTAATTTTCTTCATTCATTTCTGAAATCATCAACATGGCCTTGTAACTTAGGCTCTAGACAGACAATTCAGTCAGACAGACTGATTTTACAGACAGACAATTTGAATGTAATCGTGTCACGACTGCAATTGAACTGCAAACCGTACGTGCAGTTCTATTTATTTAAAACTAGCGTTTACCCGCGGCTTCGCTCGCGTCACAAAAGGATAAAAAGTAGTCTATGTGACATATACCAATACACACAGCGCCATCTATACCAATACTTTTGTTTTCCCTCGGGAATATCAAATTTTTTCGGGATAAAAAGTATTACATATTATCATGCTATCAACTGCTATCAGGGAGCAGCTGTGAATCACTTCCACGCGGACGAAGTCGCGGGCTCAGTTAGTAGGCTATAAGACATCACACTAAGATTAATACGCGCCGAGCATAGCGGGTGAAACCGCGCGGAGTAATAGATAAATGTTTCAAACATTAGATAGGTACCTAATAATAATGGCGTATCAGCCGATTTCATTCCAAGGCCACACGTGTTTGAAAACACGTTTGTTTGACTCACTGTTGCCCAAGTTAATGGCCCGAAATACCCACGTAAAATACCCAGTACAAGACTGTCGATATTATAAAAGAAAAATCCTTCCGTAGTTTTAAGGATTTAAGCATAGGGACACAAAAAGCGATTGTTTTTAACCGACTGCCTCGTTGGCCGAGTGGTCGCAAGTGCGACTGCCGGGCAAGGGGTCTCCGGTTCGATTCCCGCGTCATGCAAAGTAGTACAGGGTTTTAAAAAAAATCTCAGTAGTAGCACGGAGTCTGAAATTGTGCCCGGTATATGGCAATAGGCTCACCCCCTATTACAATGGACTCATAACATAAATAGTGAAAAGCGGGTGTTACATTGTACAGTGGCATAATGTCCACCTCTGCCTACCCCTTTGGGGATAAAAAGCGTGATGTTCTATTATGTTTTTAACCGACTTCAAAAAAGGAGGTTCTGAGTTTGACCTGTATGTATGTTTGCGATTTGTTGAACCGATTTTGATGAAGTTTTCAAAAAAGTGTTTGTTACACGTAGGAGAAAGTTTTAGTATTAAAGTCGATTTTTTTATAAACACACTAGTAATGTTTTTATAATAACTATCGTGGGACATACTAAATTAACTAAAAATCTGGGTTACTCACGTGAATATACTGAGAAAAGCTCTACTAGTTTCGAACCACAAAGGGGTTCTTCCTCATGAGCAGCGTGCGCAGTCGCGGCGATGTCGCGCAGCCTGGCCAGCGTTGGCGCTCGCCTCGGTGTTGCTACTTGCGCATCTAGCGCTAGTAGTACATTATATTTAAAAAAGAATTATGTAGGTATATACTAATAGTGTGCGCGGTCTTTAGGCGCCCTTCTAAGTATATATACATAATTTAATATTAATTAATATAATCATTATAACCTTATTACAATTATATGGTCAGTAATTAAATAATAAGTAGTTTTCATGTATTTACCCTATTTCCTTTGAAAAAAAGAATAATGAAATAGTTTGCGTAATTGATTAATTTAATTTTGATAACGCACGTGTAAGGTAAATATGAATAGAGATTCATTTAAATCCCGTTAGCCAATTTTTTTTAGCTCATTCTAAAATGGCAAAACCACCTTTATAGACAAAAATCTTGTCAGTAGTGGTAAGTCAACATTATCATTTCTGTCAAAACTCAAATGAAAAGAAATTATAGACTGAAGTAGGTAGTACCTACTAATCATCGCTGTATACAGGAGGCTAACGGTTTGTTGGCCAGATGATGCAAATGTGAAGGGCTTTTTGTCCAATCATGGCAGCTGTAAAATATTGAACGGTGTGAGACTAGCTAATCTCCTATTGGACGAATAACAAAAGGTTCACACTAGGCTATCTAGTGAGCAGAAATAGAGAAGGCCTTACTGTACACTCCTTGTGTCAATTTACAGTGATTCATCATCATCCTGTATGCCCACTGCTGAGCAAAGCCTCTTCTCACACGGAAAAGGTTTGAGCATTAATCACCACGCTTGCTCAATGCGGGTTGGCGATTACAAACTTATAATTAGAAATTATAAGCCCAGGTTTCCTCACGATGTTTTTCTTCACTGTTTGTCAGGGTGTCTAGATAATCCTAGAAAGTACATATAACTCGGAAAAAGTCACATTGGTACTTGCCGTCGATAGGTTTCGAACCTGCACCCTCAAGCATGAGAGCTGGGCGTAAACCTCCGGGCCACTACGTAACCAACGTTACAGTGATTATACGTACGCATCTACATTGAAACGTTATCAATCGCAGACAGACGAGTAATTCCATTAAAGTAATTAGTTCAAATACATTGTATGTTTAATATTCTATAGATAACGTTAACAAACGTACACGTTATCGTAGTTATATCTGTTCATTATAATTATGAAACTGACAGTCCGCCGTCGAAACTTAAGTTTTTTAAGGAGTGTATAGCTCTAAAGATACTTCTCATTTCTTAATGAGGACAAAAATGAAAATTTAAATGAATTATTTCGTTGGTGTCTAGTTACAAATGTTAGTTTAAATTGATTTACTAATTTTGGCGTCTGGTACTCTTAATGACTATCTCCAGTTATGTTTAGAAACCAATTACCTACCTACCTACTGCTAAATTTCTTAAAAAAGCTGGAGGGCCAGTAAAATAATTTCCATTTGCATGATGTCGTTTAACATTGTATTCTTTACTCAGACTAAACTTATATACAAATCATACACTGAATTTTATTATTGTTGTTGCACATAAGATGAAGATGTTGAGATTAAAATGTGTGTCGCGGGCCACATGAAAGCAAGTTGCGGACCTTTGTTTGGACAGCCCTGAACTTAATGAACGTCACTAGTATAATCTGTGTTATCGGCAGCACTAGCTGTCATGTTGATGCTGTCATCTGTCAAATGTGACAGATTAGTAAAGTTTCCCGCGCAAAGAGTTTTAACGTCGCCCATTCGGGTTGGATGTTTGAACGAGCATTATGCTTACGCTGATTCTTAAAAGAATCTGTTGCAGAATAAACTTTTCAGTATTTGAGTATTGAGTTTTATTTAAAACTACCTCTAAAATCTACCTAATAGTAATATAATCATATTACTGTGTAAATAGTAATATAATAATGTTCCAAAGTAAACGATAAAGTATTTTAAGCAGTTCCGGAATAAACTGCACCTTAATCATGATTAAAAAGTAATAACTTTTTCCTTCACACTTGCGGGCTTTTTTCTGTATAAAGAGATGCTTAGTACACCCATATTTACAAATTCAATTATTTATGCCCCTTTTCGATTGCAGTTATATATATATATAACTTAATATAACTAGCCACTCCCCCACGGTTTCACCCGCTCTGCTCGGCCTATAGCCTTCCTCGAGAAATAGACTATCCAACACTATAATATTTTTTCAAATTGGATCAGTAGTTACTGATATTAGCGCATTCAAACAAACAAACAAACTGCTTAGCTTTATATAATAAAGTATATGGTTATTTGGTTTACATAATATACATAATAATTAAACTAAATATTTGTTAGTATGTTTAAAAATTATGCATAAGTCTAGCGTAAATAAATGTTACGCATAAAGTTTTATGATAAGACAATAAACAATTGGCTACCTCTACATGAGAACTAGGGTTTGCTGTGATCTCCACTTGGCTTGGCAAGCGGGTTGTAGGTCGCAGACTCAAAGAATCAAGTTTATCCGAGGATGCTTGATTATGATGCTTCCTTAGTTGACACGACACTCGCGGAGACAAATAACAATGATTACAGCTGATACATGTATGATAGTTGATAAGAAAGATAACTCTAATTAATGACATATGACAATGTTCTGTCTCCAGATACCACATGAAGACGTTCCACGAGGCCGCCACGTCCCACTACATCAGATCCTCTCAGCTGTTCCACACAAACCTGTGCCACGCGCCCGCTCTCTTCCTACTGTCTCGCAGCGATCCCGTCGGAGCTGAACGCAGCAATCGCAGCGTGCACGATAGCTGGGTCAAAATGGGAATGAAGGTAATACCTGATCTGATATTCTTTTAAAACATAGGTCGGTAAACGAGTTAACGGGGCATCTGATGATAAGCAACCGGCGCTGTCCATGGACACCCGCAACACCAAGGGTATTACAAATGCGTTACCGGCCTTCTGAAGGCAATCTCCGGTTCGACGTTTCTAACTACTATGACCACAATTATTTTGATTTAATCGCTTGAATGCACCGATATGAGACACAATACAAAATACATTGTTACATGCCGCATTAGGCTATGTTCAGATGATTGTGCGGTATTGAGCATTAACGTGCGTAATGCGCTAGTCGGAACGCCGCGCGGTCCCGTAGACGATACTACCTATTCGCTTAGATCTTGTACCGCGCGGTATAACATCTGAACTTAGCCTTAATGACTGAATTAGTATCTTTGATTTCTGTCATATTTTAATACGGTAATTAGAAACGTCAAACCGGAGAACAATCGCTGAGGGCCGCTTGGGAATAGGGGAGGTTTTAGCCTCCGGTAATCTCACTTATACGGCAAAGCACAAGCGTTGTTCCCCTATACCCTTACTATGTCACGGAGAACCTAACAGGTAACCAGGGCTCCGGCTCGACGTGCAGGAGAAGGAACGGGGTGGTTTTTAGTCAGTAAGAATCTGACACTCCCTCCCGCCTAACCCAGGCGGGAGCAGTCATTTGATAATTTTCCCCCCTTAAAAAAAAATACCTTTACTATTCCCGTGGGCGGGTGACTGCCATTTGATAGAGATTGAGCAGCTCTTTGCCAAGCATGGAGAAGTGAAAATTATAGCAAACCCCTCACTTGTAGAGGAGACTCATAGTCCAGTCAGATTGTCAAGAGCTAATGATGAAGAATTTTCCTATAACACGACATTTGTCTTTGATTTCAGTGCACCTGGAAGTGCTGGGACCGGTCACCTCACGTCCAGCACTACACGAAACACCCCAAGGAGTACGTGGCGGCTCTCTACGCTCATCTCGACGCCTACGGACTCGTCTCCCAACCAGACAAGATGCGCATGAGGTTATAAACACTAACTCCTACACAACGAGACATTTACAACCTTAAAATCGTGTAATTAAGCTCTATTCGCTTTGGCATTCAGGTTTATTGATTGTCAATTAAAAATCAACTTTCAATGCAATGTGGTAAAGTACATTTTTGTTTGTGTTCGAGCATTCTTACTGAAGTTTTTTTGTTAGCCTTTAGCATCTTGGCTATTACTGTTAGTCTTTAGTTTTATCAAAAATAACTTCAGTGTTAATGCCTTCATAAAAAGATCGTTGTGTGGTATGGGTCTCGTTGTTTAATTTAGTTAGTTGGGTCCGTTTCTATTGAATAGTTTGTGGTTGTAGATCTGTGGTATAAGCAGAGGTGTTAGATGTTTCGGTTTTTGTTAGCTCATAACTGCGATCTCCAAGTCGTCTGCCAAGTATGGGGATTAAGGCTCCGATGGCATGAAAAGGAGCCTTGCGTTCATTTGTGGACGATGATATTATCGCCTGTGACATAATATGAGATCTGGTTTAATTCCCGGGTCGGCAAAAATATATTTTATTGTCTGACAACAATATTTATAAATTATATTTGAAATATAGTAATTTAAACTATGATTTTGAAAAAAAATGGTTATTAACCTACCTAACACAACTGCTTATACCACAAGGGATAAGACTTAGTTGCCTTGAAAATGACAGTTACGTCATAAATCTCTATTAAACCTGATTCGACAATAATTGGCCAATTTACACTTTTACAAAATCAACTTTATGACTTAACACATAAGATATAGTTTCTCAAAAAACCTGTTACAAGTTTAGAATTATGTTAAAAAGAATTTTATGTAAATTGACATAGAGTGGATATTACTTAATTAAAAAGAAATTTTGTATGAAATCGATAGGAATTAAGGCTGTTTCCGTATATTGATAAATTGGTTCCTGCAATATTATACTATTTTAGTACAGTTTTATAACTATTAAACCAATTTTTTCTTTTTACTTATTTTGTTAGAAATTTGTTAAACTGACGGTTCTTTTTGAAAAATTCTACAATTAAACATATTTTTGTACATTCATATGGTGTTAACAGTGTGTTTTTAGCCCATATATAAAAGTAGTCTCTCACCTAATAGGGCCTACCATATTTTTTTCAACAAGCGGTGCAAATTTAGGAAGATGTATTTTTTGTCCAATCACGTTAGCTGTCAAATATTGAACGTCCAATGACGTGACACCAGCTTTTTTCGTATTGGAAGAAGAATGAGATGTTCTCATCAGCGCTAGCAAAACTACGGTAGCCCCCATTATATTTGTTGATACTAATACTAATGACGAAATGTGGGATATATCTCTATCTACTCAAATGTAAGAAATCATGCTTAGTATGTTATATGCAATTTAAAACGAGGGCCGATTGGACCCATTTTTCCAACGCTAGTTAAATTTTATCACAGTAGTAACTTTGGATATTTGACAATTCTATCATACTATATAGCTGTCAAATGAGAAGAGGCCTTTGCTCAGCAGTGGGCACTTTTATCGCTTGAAGATGAACTCCACAAATACTTTTGTCTCGTTTCCTCATCGAATGTTTACTATGGGAATGAAAGAGACAACACGTTTTAATCACGAAATCTAACATTTAAACGCTTAACACTCGTTAAGCATTTCTTTGTTTTATTTTTCGTCTTTAATTTGATTTCTTAAAAATATTTGCACTGTTTCATCCTAGTACAGTTTATAATCGATACGTTTTAAAAGCGAAACTTAAATTTTACGATTTTTAACTTCTTTATAATTGGTGAAACATGAGTGTTATAATATTATCGATGTAACATCGGCAAAGTTTACAGTAGTTCTCTTTTCAAACCAAATCCTGTGACAAACTGGCTATCTACCCAGTGACTTTATCCAATCGCCACTTAAGCGCTTGTCTACAGAGAGAGTAGAAAACTAAATGTATGGGGATGACATTGACAAGTGTCAAAATTTACGTCAATTCCATATAATTTGGTTTTCTATTCTACATGTACGTAGACAGGCGCTAAATGGCATTTGGCTACAGCTGGTGGTCTCTTTGTGGTCGCTCGTGCCGAGTGCATGCGTACATCGGTTAATGATGGTCGACAGCTTACTTTGTCGATTGTACACCTGATGCCTTAGTACGGCTCCAATAAACCATCCAATCAGATAGAGTAGCACTAAGACAGAATTTCCCTAACATCCCACAGGAACGGTTAAAAGTTGAATCACCTATTTGTGCGTTCGAAAACGCTGGCAGAAGTTATGTTATAGAATTTCTTAGTATTTACACTGATTTCAGAATCGTGTCCGATTTTTTTTTATACTATGACGGTGGCAAAAAGCACACGGCCCAGCTAATGGTAAGCGGTTACCGTGGCCTATGTACGCTTGCAACTTTTGAGACAATACATGCGTCTTGCCGACCCTTGAGAAACCTATTCACTCCCCCTTGAAGAACCCCATGTTGTAGCCCACTGGGAAAACCACGGCACGGCAGTCGGCACAACTTCTCCATGTCATGCCCTATTATTTTCCTAGCTAAAATATACACGAATTCTAATTTAACTACGTTCGCCATTACTCTACTGTCATACTCGACCATTGCAAACGTATCATTAAATATATAAAACCATTTTTTATTTTTTAGTTCCTAAACATCATAAATAGTTCGTTAAAATTATCTAGAAAATTGTGGATCAGGGCCTAAGTATTAAAACAATGAATTTATCATGTTTAGTTTTAAGATTTTTATATTATATAGATATAGATAATTATAGTATAAGAGAATATGCACTGTAGTCTCTAGTTTAATGTAATAGATAAAAATACACTTTTACGAAAATCTTTTTTGTTGTGTTATTTAACCAATTTTTTTGTTTATTTTTTGCCTGTATTAAGCTAATTTTTTTTATTCCAACTTAATATTTACGTGTCTGTACGCTATTGCTTTAAATAAAAAAATGCAATTTTGGCCATAAATGCTGGAGATAAGTGGTAACAAAACACATAAAACTTTGTTAAAATTGAATTTTAAGTCACTTAAAAAATGTTTCTTTTGCCCAAAGTCACAATAACCCAAGCTTGAAATGGTGAACCTTTTGGTGATACAAACCTTCCGGAGACGAAAAGATACAAAACCAATGTTAGATGCAAAAAGCAGGCATAAGTTATTTTTCTGTCACCGACGGAGGGTACAAATGGAAACTATGTTTTTTTTATGGCATAACCCGGTAAACGAGCAGACGGATCACCTGATGGTAAGCAATCGGCGTCGCCCATGGACACCTGGAACACCAGAGGCGTTACAAATGCGTTACCGGCCTTTTGGGGGTTAGGAGTTTGAGGGTCGTTGGAGATTCAGGGATTGTGGAGATTGGGGAAGGGGTGGGTAATTGGGCCTCCGGTAACCTCACTCACACGACAAAACACAACGCAAGCGTTGCTTCACGTCGATTTTCTGTGAGGCCGTGGTATCACTCCGGTCGAGCCGGCCCATTCGTGCCGAAGCACGGCTCTCCTACACTTATGATCACATTTTACTAAGTTAATTATAATTAAAATTACATGATAACTCCTAAAAGGTTACGAACCCAAGTGCGAATGCGTTCGATGTTAGAACAACACTGCTTTCATATCTTAAAATTATTTCGTAAGAAGGTTTTCAATAAAAATTACTTTATACAATAAGTTTCTCATCAATTGATGATACAGCGATTCGCAGCTGGGCACGAGGCGGCGACATGAGGACACGACTCAGCAGTTTGGATGTTACAATACTCCGTAGAACCTTCGTTGCATCTAAGTAGGTGTAATGTTAATTCAGCAGATTTGGGCCTCGTGACACGGCGTTGATTACGGTGTAGGTACATGTGTCGGCACCGATACGTAGCATCTCCACCCTCAGAACAGCAACTTTCGAAGACTAACGTCGAGAATAGGGCTGATCGCTATTCCGTGATTTGTCCTTTTGAGTTCTTCGATTTCTCTCTCGATTTTGCAGATGGGATGGAGAACCTTTCTGACGCTAATAGCGATAAATTTTAGCTTATTTGCAACTTCGATTCCGAACGTTTTTGCTTGTACATGTAGATATTTGATCCCTCTCCAATGCAAAGTTTTATTCCTTTGTCCATTACTTACTCGTTCATTAATTATTACTGTAGTGCCGGCGCTATGGATTCCCCTTTTTTCGGTAATTAAGTATATAAGGTAATTATAAAATCATAAAAAAATGTCCTCAATATGGAGTATAAGTGCGAAACGGGTCAGGCAGTCGGCAGTGCGCCTTTATTTTATTTTTTTGGTTGATCGAACACATAACAGAAAGACAAAGTGTTTAAAGAGACATCCGGCGTCAAGGATTTTAGACCACCTTCTTGATTACCTACTGGTTTCCTGCCTAGATAATGACCAGGCTCATGGGAAGGAGATCATAATGCCCGTCATCGACAGTGTAGACCATTACGACGCCGAAGCGTGGGTGCTCGCTATAGATTTCCAACCCGTGGATGCCTTCTTGGGTGTCTACTGTCCGAGCACGGATACGGATTGTGGGCGACGAAGAAGGGCCCCCACGTATTTATGCAAATGATTTGGGCCTCGCTCTCATGTATCGTTGCCATTTACTCCTGGTTGCCCTAGAAGAGGTGCATATCCCGATGCCGTGCTGGAGTGCTGCGGGGTAGTTGCGGCACGTAAGTCATTTTCTCATTTAAAGTTATATTATTCGAACGGTGCTTGATATCGACCCGGGTAGCTCGCGATCACAAATTTCGATATTAGATAATTTTAACGCGCTCGCGAACCGGCACACGACTGCGCCAGTTATTTTTCTGCCACCGACGAAGGGTGCAAATGGAAGCTATGATCACATTTTACTAAGTTTATTATAATTAAAATTACATGATAACTCTTAAAATCTAACTACTTAACCTAAGAGCGAATGCGTCCGAAGTCGGAACAACACAGCTTTCATATCTTAAAATTATTCCGTAAAAAGGTTTTCAGTAAAACCTATTGAGGTTAAATCTAGTGGGGTGATTGATGATGCAGCGATTCGCAGCTGGGCACGAGGCGGCGACATGAGGAGACGACTCAGCAGTTCGAATGTTGCAATACTCCGTAGAACCTTCGTTGCATCAAAGTAGGTGTAATGTCCTGATTCAACAGATCTGGGCCTCGTGACAAGATGTAGGTACATATCTGGTGATCTGTGATACAGGGTTCACCTACAACAGACACCAGTCTCAGGTTTAGTTGTAAAACGTTTGCTGTATTTTATTTTGTAAATGATGATGAGAGAAATAAATAAATTATTATTTCCATATATTTATTTAAAATTCTCTATAAATTACATTTTTAAATACTACTTATAAAAAAATAAAAAATAATATTTAAAAATATAAAAAATAGGAGCCGACCAATAGCGGGAGCATGGTCCAAGCTACGGTGGTTAGGGCTCCAGAGACAGAAACCTCCTCACAATGCGCGCCGTTTCAAGGAGAACTGCCTTCTGTATCAGGCCCTTGATCCAACTGCCTAACGCTAGCCTCCTAAGGTGGTTGTCGAGGCTATTAGGGATTAACCCAGTGGCCGACACGACTATCGGCAATAAATTATTATTATTATTAATATGTCGGCACGCATACCTACGTGTCACATATTTCTACTAAACAACTTTTTTTTTGTGTTCGTTGGTTGTACTTATAACTTCTTTTTATATGTTTTTTTTACCTAGATTAGGCCTCACTGTCGAATTGGGAAACTCCTGTAATGAGAGTGTAGGAAGATTTTTACAATAAAAAAAAATATATGATTGCTTCCAAAATACATAGGTAGGTATGACTTTTTGATGGGGGAAAATCATCCAATGAAACCCCCTATGTTGGGAGAGGCGAGAAGGAGTGTCAGACTTATTGACTAAAAACTACCTCGTTCCTACTCCAGCTTCGAGCCTGAGGCCGGTAGCCAGAAATACATAAGATTGCAATTACGTTCATATTGTGTAGCAGGTTAATAGACAACACTGGTTCAAGAAGGAACTAACCTAATTAATGTTAATAACACGAATACTAGTCGTTCCTCTAGTCTGCACTTACTTTATTTACGCTAGCATAGATTTTCAGATCGTTCTACATTGATAAGTGCAGTAAAGGATAAATATTGCACATATTGCGATGTTTTTGAAAATAACTTTAGAGAAATAACTACTTTTATAAGATGAGATGGGATTTTGGAATGGAAGACAGTTGCAAGTTCTAATGGAAAAACACTATGTCAATTAATGGATACCTCAATATAAAATGGAAACCTCAAAATACGGAAATTTTCAAAGGCTGATATGATATGCGATGTAAGTTTCTCAATAATATGCATGTGGCTCGCGGGTGTAGAAAAAATAACATTCGGATTTTACGGTTTTTTAAATAATTTTTTGCTGTAAATAATTTTAGCAAAAATTTAAAAACAATCTTAAAATAAAACAGGTAAATAGTTTGTATGGTACAGTCAATTCATTTTACTGCTCATCTCATAACTGAAAACATAGCATGAAGTACTGTTACTACTTAGGTATAGAACACAACGAAACTAAATAGAAACCAATTTGAAAGATATTTGGGCTTCCTCATTCATTATTTATCCTTGAGCTGAATTCGGCGTCGCGCCGGCCGACGTACTACCGTCAGTATACCAACAACTTGCGTTACTGATACACGCGTCACCCGCAGAGGTCAATAACCCCCGGTCGCCGCTTTACATACCAAATGTGTTTACCGTGATATTTTACACAAAACGAATGCATTTTCGTAATATTTTTAATGTAAAAGTGTTTTAAATTGGGTATTTTTAAAGGTAAGTTGTCTTTTAATATTTTAGCGGAGACGGTATACCTATTTCATTTAATAAGATGCATGTATTGTTTTCTTATACTACTTACTCATTGCGGGTGCAAAGTTCAGTGAAAGTATTTAAATTCTGTCTAGAAGTGGAACTAGGTATAAATAAACATTTTTTTTTTGAACTCTGTAGAGTGTGGGCATGATTTGTTTGAATAGCTTATCAATGTTATGAATCTAATCAAAGATTGTATCATAGTCGTAGTTATAAAATATGAATGAGATGGTTTAAATTACCTACCTGATGATGATGATGATGATGATGATTGCTGTGACCACATTTATTTATGTGTAGGACTAATCACTATACCGATAGCTCGGTATAGTCACCAGTCCTAGTTTTAAAATTTTATATTGGAGTTTTAATTTTTACATCTTTATAGTGGATATATTTATTTAAATAGAATAATATGAATTATTTTTATTATTATTTAAAATGTGCACAAAGTCCACGTTTCGCTGTTCAATTTCATAAACTTAAGTACCTAAGCAGCCGGCTGTAATGACATGACTCACAATTACCATTTAATTGACCTGATTTCGATAGCTGTATTAAATACTGTCCATTTAGAATAACGCAACCTAAAATGTACATAATGAAAGCATTATATATCATAAATGATAAACATAAAATAATGTGTATTGTGTATTATATGTAGGCATTTACTCAACATACTGTAAGGACTAAGGTACTAACAAAAATTCAGGCTGTGATGTTCGCCGTGTAAGTGAGAATGACCAGAGACCTAGGGGGCAGAATTATCGCCCTAGTTCCTATTTTCAGTCCCCAAACTCTTGACAGTTTCTGAGGACTGATCCTCAAATCCCTAATCCGCAAAGGAATGGCAACGCACTTTTATGTTGCGGGTGTCCATGGATGGCGCCGATTGCTTACCATCAGGCGATCCTTCTACTCGTCTGCTGTCTTATCCCATAAAAAAGTTAAAGTTAATCAATCAGTAAGTAGTTAAGTTTCTAGTTAAATTATTTCATGTCTTCTAATCTAACTTGCCAGGTCACCATGGAAGCGTTTCGTTTGGGGACCACGCTACGTTTCGCCAGCCGTGGGAAAAGATTAATTACTAGTCAAAGTGTAAGTACTAAATAATGTTTTATACTTAGCCTGGGTCTCTGTCTACACCCTAGGAAAATGAAAGCCACAATTCAGAAAACAAATTAAATGCTAAATGAAACCTCCACTTGCAGGAGTATTGATTCTGTCAGGGGTTCTCCCCTATACACAATATTCGTATCACAAGAATGGCCCCCCCTGTTTTATTTCTGTCTCTATAAAACGCTTAAATGTGACTGAGATAGCATATTTATTTGAGTAGCGAATGCACGTGTAGGTACTAAGCTTAAGTTTGATTTTTTTACCGAGGTGTCAAGTAAAGTCACCAAAAGTCCCCAAAAGGCATAGCACTTGTAAATTCTCTTGTGTTACGGGTATCCATGGGCGGCGTCTATTGCTTACCATCAGATATCAGTACGGCCTATCAATCCCATAAAAACACAGGTTCTACAAAAACCTCCCATTGAGCCGATGAAAGGCTCCGGCACGGAGGAGGAGATGAAACGGGGTGGTATTTAACATTTTTGTCAGTAATAGTCTGATGTTTTACTCCATTGTGTTAATAGATAATTAGACAACATTGATTTTTACAGGCATCACCCCGACCGTTACAATTTACTCCCGTGGCGATGGTGGGGATGGCCCGCGGTGTGCACACACAGACAGTCTACGAGAACATGGCGTACATCAGCAACGACAAGGTCAAACTAAAAGCTGACCCTAAAACTATGAAGTGAGTTGTCAACAAGTATGTACCACGTTCAGCATCGATTATACTGAAGAGCTATGGTAGTGTGCTAGTCGCGCAAAACCTAACGGGTAACCGGGGTCCGGCTCGACGTGCAGGAGAAGGAACGGGGTGGTTTTTAGTCAGTAAGAGTCTGACGCTCCCTCCTGTTTACCCAGGCGAAAGCAGTCATTAGATGATTCCCCCCCTTAAAAAATGTGCTAAGGGCAATGTACAAGGGGCATAAGAAAAATATTGTGAAAAGATCATGATCAGATTAAGATCACTCTTTCACCAAATCTATCCAATAATTTTAGGAAATAAAAAAAATTAATCTAGGATAAAAAAAATTGTAAAATGATTGGAATTTCCAGATTGAACGAGAAAATAGACAAGCCACTATGTATAATCATGAATTGGATGATGGCCAAGCCGAACCACGTTAAGAAGTATGCGCAGTTGTATCTGGACCACGACTTCGATGTGCTCTCCGTGACCTGCACTCCTTGGCAGCTCATGTGGCCGGCGAAAGGAACCCAAGTATGTACCTACTCGAATTACCATTAAACTGTCAAACACCAAGCGGTCACCGGGGACCGCAACCTATTGTTCTATAATTGTGTCTACAAAACCGGTACTCGACGAGTTAAGTATGTTTTATCGTCATCGTTGTCAACGATTCGTGAGAGTTCATTGCTGGAATTGTACCTACCTCCTCTAACCAAAAGAAGGGCAGCGAATCGGTCAGTCAATCTAAAGTCAGCTATGCTGTTCACGAATATTAGCCCCTAGCGTGACTTGAAACTGGTCTAGTTAGGTACCTCGCCAAACAATGACGTACGTGAGTAACCCGCTTAACATAAATAAATAATAGTATTCTGGTCTACTTTCAGGTACTAACGGAAAAGCTGCTGCGGTTTATGGAGGTGAACAGTCAGAACCCGCTGACGGTGCACGGGTTCTCAGTCGGCGCCTACGTATGGGCTGAGCTGCTGGTCCACGCTGTTAATGATAAAAAACGGTACCTATTACGAATATCTTTTACCGTTAGTAGTGACAAGTTTCCTTGGAAAAGTAATCTGGCTTGATCGGAGATACCACGTCCTTACAGAAAACCGACGTGAAACAACGCTCATAAGTATGAGTCCCGGAATAACTTGAAACTAGTCGAGCGTTTCTCAAAAATTTGTTGTAGTAACTAAACCGCATAATTATTATAGTTTATTAAATTTCATGATGGTTACTTCTAGATTCCAGCCAGTATTAGACCGTGTGGCGTGCCAGGTGTTTGACTCCGGTGCAGACATCCATGAGATACCGGTCGGCTTCCCCAGCGCCGTGTTCCCACGCAACAAATTCTTACAGGAATTGTTTAGGACTTATATTAAGTAAGTATTTGTTTGTAGGAATTGTTGTAATGATGTCTGAAGAACGTGTCGCCAGACCAATTCGCGCACGCAACAACTATGTGTGATTCATAAATTGATGTTCTGAATCTGAGTGTCATGTGTACCTATGTTAAATGTACCTATATGTAGTAACCTCAACCACGCCATGCGCCACACTGTATAGCAATATCATTGTGGTTATTTGGCGTTTAATTGTCTCTGCCTACCCCAATGGGAGACAGGTGTGATGACAATAATATGTATGTACTAAAAATATCTTTATAAACTTAAATCAGCTTTCTCTGTTCCCAGAACTCACATGAAGGTGTTTCATAACGTAGCGACGAAACATTACATGAAGGCTACCGACGTGTTCCATCACACTCCCTGCAGGGCGCCGGGGCTGTTCCTCGTCTCTAAGACTGACCTCGTAGGAGCTGAGAAGAGGAGCCGAAGCGTCCACGACTCTTGGGTCAGGAGTGGAATTAAGGTAAATAACAAGATGACTTGACTGAAACAGGTTTCCTTTTTCGCAAAAAGTTTTTCTTTTGTAGAAAACTTCTCTGTTTTTATCGTTGGTGCGATGGCTGGGCAATCGTCTGCCATGCACCGTGTTGCGGTTTCGATTCACGGAACAACACTTTGTGTGATCCACAAATTATTGTTCCTGGTCTGGATGTCATTGTGTATGTGAGCTTGTATGTTTGTAAACGCACCCACGATACAGGAGAAAATCTTAGTGTAGGGCAAGTTTTAAACAAATGGAGTTCAGCAAACGAGTAGGTGGACGGACCCGTAACACAAAAAGTTACAAGTTTCGGGCCTTTTAAGTATACTGGTGATTTGAGGATTGGGGATGTGAGGAAGGATTGGATCTCCAGTAACCTCACTCACACGTCTACACATATTGCAAGCAGTTTTCCGTAAGGTCATGGTATCACTCCGTCGAGCCAGCCCACTCATTCCGAAGCATGGCTCTGACGCATGAAACAAATAATATAACTAATATAAATGCGAAAGTTTGTTTACTAACTAAAAATCGTGGGTTACTTACGTGAAAATACTGAGAAAAGCTCTACTAGTTTCGAACCACAGGAGGGTTCTTCCTCATGAGCAGCGTGAGCGGTCGCGGCGATGTCGCGTAGCCTACTAGCCGATAGTTATTTTACTATAAAAACAAGTTTGTTTGTTTGTCAAAATGGCTGAAGGGATTGGAGCGGAATTTGGAACAAGGGTAGATCATGGTCTAAGATAGCACATAGGCTATTTTATACCACGAAAACGCGGGCGAAGTTGCCGGCGGAGACTAATTTCTAATATTGTTAATTTTGTATCCACAGTGTAACTTCAAATGCTGGGACAAGTCTCCTCACGTGCTCCACTACATCCACCACCCTCAAGAGTACAAGCAGGCGTTGTACTCGCACATGAAAGAATGTGGTTTACTCAAAGACAAGTCATAGACTATGTGTCCCAGTATGGCCGATGCACGATACGGAGCCGCGGAAGACAACGAGTTGCCGGGGCTCCGGCTCGAAGACCGCTTCGCGTCGCGTCGCTCGCGCCGCGATGGCGTCCGGCGCTCTGATTGGTTGGTTCATTGGAGCCAGCCAATCACAACGTAGAACGCATACTCGTTACGATTACTTTAAACGAAAAAGAAACTCGTACTAACGCCTCTGAAGTAGGAACAGTTTTTAGTCAGTAAGAGTCTGACACTCTTGCTTCACCAAAGGCGGCAGAAGTCATTGAATAATTTCTCACCCACAAAAAAAAACTATAGATCCTTGAAGCATCATTGCGCATCGGTATCTTAACCGAGGGCGCGATTATAAGCAACTAGTGCCTGTTTTCATCGACCTGTTTAAAAAATAACCTATGTACCTATTTGGGAAAGGTGACAGCTAACAACAGTTTATCCTATGAGGTTTATTTTCACCAACCTTTAAGTGACACCTAGTAATAAAAGAGATTAATTTAGGTGGTCCCTCGCTCTAAGTAAGTGTTATAATTAACACTTACTTAGCGCGAGCGCACTTACTAATCTTAATAGATTAAGAGGTGGTTTTGGGGTGGTTGGTGAAAACGGTCACACTACCCCTAACTTTTTACTAACTACAAGGCTATTTGCCAAAGTACTAAAAGGTATTGTTTTTTATCGAATGCATTTATGTGAATCATACATAATTATAATTATATAGTACCTACAGTAACAATGGCCAGCTGGTCAAACGTTCTCCTTCCTGTGGCATTTGTTCATTCAATTTTTAACTTTGTTGTTTCGGAAGGTATAAGGTCGAAGATCCGATGAAAGATAATTGACTTTAAGTACCTAGGGTTGACCTGCTGGCATTTGTACTTTTGAATGCTTTACCTTTTTTAATTCAAGATAATATTCCTATATAAGTAAGTACATATTTACAACTTTTAAAATAAAAAATAAATAACAAAACTGTAATATAAGTCAAAATATCAGTCATCTTTGTAGGTTCATAATTTTTGCATTTTTTTTTTATTATCTGTTTAATATTGTTATAAGCATAATAGTTATTAAATAATATTAAATTAAATACATAATAAGTAGGTAGGTACTCATTTTTGTTAACTATTATTTTAATTTTTTTGTACCTATTTAAGTTTTTTTTATATGGAAATACACAAATAAAAAATGTACTTAAAAATTGGTTGTTGTTATTATTTATTTTAATCACAAAAAATATTAAATAATATTTCACAAAAAAAAACGACAAAATATCTCTAAAACTGATGAAAATTCGGAACAGTCTGAATCCTAGCTAAAAACTAACAAAATTTTCGTAACCCCGATAAATGTTTCCCCGTCAATATTTTGCGAACTGGCGGATGGGGTGGGTGACCTTAGGTGAACTACTACCCTAGTATTCTGACGTCGAGGGCCAAGTTGTACAACACTTAACTGCGTCTAATAAGCCAGATTCTTAAGATTAAAAAATAAGGCCAGATAAAAAGGTCAGAAGCTGCCCAAGGACTTAATTATATGCAACAGCTATCTTCAACTGTGAAACCGAAAATCCTGCATCCATGATCCTGCACGTTAAAACGGCTGAAGGGATCTGGATAAATGTTTGGAACAGGGATTATGATCTGAAACAACACCTTGGCTACTTTTTATCCGATGTGAACGCGGGCGAAACTGTCAACACAGGCTAGTAGACTGTAAAACACCACGTTACGATTGATAGGCAGCGAAACCGTCGGGGTCAGCGGCTGGTCGACTTTATGGAGAGGGAGAGACTCTTTCTGATAAACTCCTTCATCCGAAAGCGACCAGCTAGGAGGTGGACGTGGATAAGCCCCGATGATTATACCAAAAATGAGATCGTCTTCATCATGGCGAGCGTGACAAGCGTATATTCAGTGATTTCTCTGTGATAGCTAAGGTGAAAACCGGCAGCGATCATCTTATACACCTCAACACGGTAACCCATTGTCGGACAGCTCAAAAACAGCGGAATCGGGCGGAATCACGACAAAACTTTTGCGAGCGGGTGGAAAATCGATACTATTAGTCGTCCAGAACAATTAAGAAAGAAAAGAAAGAAAGAAAGAAAAACCATTTATTTCTGCGCAAAACACACATAACATAATTATTTAAAAAATAAAAAGAAAACAAAAAAAGCTAAAAAATTAAAATGAAGTGAGATCTTGTCCATGGTCCACAGACTTATTATTTTACTGAAATGATAGAATATTTAATATCTAACATTATCTGTGGACCATAGACAAGGAAACACTGCCCATGCCATTGTTTGTTACATGCTCTGTGGTCATAATATTGTGCGTCATGTATGCGTGCGCAAAAACAGGATAATGCTCAGCAATTTCTGCGACTTAAACCTCAAGAGGTTAGCGTCGCAGCGCTGATTTTCAGCATCTCCTTGGGTGACGTAATGGCGTCCCGCCAGCTCCACTAATCGCCAGCGAACAAGAATGCAAAACAACAAAACAACGAAAAGATGTGAGTGCAGACCATGATTCACTTAACTTGGTATATGTAGTGACGTGAATTGTTGCTATTAAAGCAGTAGTGTACCGTGTGTGAGTGTGATATGAATTGTGTGTTTTGCATTTACAGCAAGTAGCCGGCATGACCTGTAAAATACAGATATACCTATATTGACCATAAATGATGGGGGAGGCTGCAGCTACGAACAACAACCTGTTGGATACCTGTGCATCACCATGTTGGAAGGCCGCGACCCTTGAGGTGAGTAGTGAATTGTATGTGTTATGTATGTAGTGTGTGTAATCTATGTACGTTTTTGTGTGTTTAACAGTAAATTCTTCAACTGTTGTAAAAAGTGTTTTTTGGTTTTCAGGCCTCGCATTGGTGGTGGCAGGTTGTTCCAACAGTGAGTCGCAGCATATTTGAAGCTCCCCCTGAAGGCCGCTGTTCTGTGCTGAGGGATGGATAGTGGATTTGTAGTTGAGCGTATGTGGTTTATTGAACTATGCTGTCTCCACTGTAATTTCTCATACAGGTACCGTGGCTTTTGGGTAGTAATAACTCCAAACAATAGGCCTGCCAGGTGCAAACGTCTCCGAGCTTCCATTTTTAAAATATTGTTTCGATTCGCAAAAGGGGTGACATGGCTTCTTCGTGGTATGTCCACACAGTATCTTATGCAAGCATTTTGAACACGCTGCACCAATCTGTTTGTTTTTGCTAGCAAGCATGGACCATAAACTGTGTCACAGTAGTTCAGTCTTGATAGGACCAGACTATCCACAAGTTGTTTGCGCAGAGCTACACTCAAGTATTTCCTAAAGCAGTATAGAGTTTTTAGTCTATAAAAACAGTTCCTTGTACTATTTAATACGTGCTTCTCAAAGTGTAGCTCTGGATCCATAGTGAGACCCAAATTGGTTGCCGTGTCTACCATTTCTATATTTTCATTGTTTATTGTAACCACTGGCCCAGCAGACAGCATAACACTGACTGTCCTCTTACTTCCCAAGACCATATATTTGGATTTCACCGGATTCAGTACCAGGCAGTTGTCCTCCGACCAAGTAAAAACGTTTTGCAAATCAGCATTAATATTCTGCACAGCCAACGAGACGTCTGCAGGTTTACAAGACATGTACAGCTGAATATCATCCGCATACATATGGTACTTGCAATGTTTAATTGAGTCTACAATATCGGCACTGTAGAGAATGTACAGAAGCGGTCCCAAAATTGAGCCCTGAGGCACGCCGCGCGCGACAGGTAGTGGAAGAGACGACACGACCGTTCCGTCCTCTTTACGGATTTCAACAAGTTGGGACCTATTGTTCAAGTAGCTTCCAAACCACTTTATTGTTTCCATCGCGAATCCATAGTAAGCCATCTTGGAAAGCAGTAAAGTGGTGTTTATCGAGTCAAAGGCCTGTTTATTAAGTCATTCTAGAAGGAACTACACCGAAAGCATATGGCAAAGGAGTATGGTGGTTTTGTTCTTCAAAAAGGGTGACATCTCCTTATTGAAAAACTACAGACCTATCTCGCTTCTGAGCCATGTATATAAGCTGTTCTCGAGGGTTATCACGAACCGTCTCGAACGCAGTTTGATGATTTCCAGTCTCCCCAACAAGCCGGGTTCCGGAAAGGCACCCGGACCATATTCCAAGACCAAGACCATATAACTAACACCATAGACCACATTCATACGCTGCGGCAAGTTATATAGAAGACCGAAGAATATAACTTGCCACTATACTTAGCGTTTGTGGACTATGAGAAAGCCTTCGACTCGATCGAGAACTGGGCGGTGCTGCAGTCTCTCCAGCGATGCCATATCGACTACAGATATATCGAGGTGCTAAAGTGTTTGTATAGAAACGCCACCATGCACATCAGACACCAGGAAAAGAGCAAGGAACCAATCTAATTGCAGAAAGGCGTGAGACAGGGAGACATAATTTCTCCGAAACCGTTCACTAACGCATTGGAGGACGTTATCAAGCTCTTGAACTGGAGTGGTCTCAACTACATTAAACACCTCCGCTACGCCGATGATATAGTCCGCTGGAGAACCTAAACACCATGCTCAGCGACCTCAATACAGTCTCCCAACAGGTGGGTCTTAAAATGAACGTGGAATAGACCAAAATCATGTCAAACATTCATGTTGCACCTGTACCGGTCATTGGGAACGATATCCTCGAAGTTGTAAACCATTTCATATACTTAGGGCAGATTATTCAGCTGGGTAGGTCCAACTTCGACAAAGAGGTCGCCCGAAAAATCCAACTCGGATGGGCAGCGTTCAGGAAGTTACGCGAAATCATCGAAAATCCCTCAGTAAAATCGAAATCTTTCAGCTTTTGATAATGATGGCGATCAATAGGTACCGGTAGGTGCTATTGCTATCGCATAAGGCCTAGTCGGATAAGCTAGCTAGATAAGGAAGTAAGTGTTGTCTTTAGAAAAAAGACATGACTTTAAAAAAAACAACATAATTAAAGTAAAAATATTTTTATATATAATTCGCTTAACAATTTATTTACAACAGTAACAATGACATCATATATGAAAGTTCACAAACTGAGAGCGAAAGAAGAGAGTGTCGCCAGCGACAGCGACGGCGGCGTGGATGGAGTAGCGCGGCATTGCCAGACTTTCGTCGACATCTCTGGCAACATCAACGTCGCTATGGACATAAGGCGCACGTTGTCGCCCTACAATACGTCGGGCGAAACCGGCAGGTTTTTTTTTTAAGGGGAGAAAATCATCGAATGACTGCTTCCGCCTGGTTGAGGCGGGAGGGAGTGTCAGACTCTTACTGACTAAAAACCACCCCGTTCCTTCTCCTGCACGTCGAGCCGAAGCCCCGGTAACCCGTTAGGTTCTCTGCGACTCCGAATCAAACCGGCAGCCTTAGCTTGACATGTCGCCAATACATATCGTGGGACATTCATCCCTAGTGTATTCAACGTCTTTAGTGGTGATAAAAAGTGTGTGTTTAACTAATGTGTTGAGTAACATATTCGCATAGTTACATGAATAATCAAAATGATGAATAGATGGACGAAATGTGCTTTGCCTGACCCAGGAACTTTCGAATCCCTATATCTCATTACACTCAGTTGCCTAACATTACACATATTTCCAAAAGCTTACAAAAACCTGTCGAACTTTGATTGATTATGATGTTTTTTCCTTTTCTTATTCGGATTTTTGTTAATTTTCTGTTTTGGCAATTTTATCCTTTCTTTCGCCGCCATCTTGAGTCTTTGAGCTCTCTTACTTTGCTTCTTCTCCGTTTTTACTGTTTGCCTGTGGATTTCGGCTTGTGCTTTCAATTTGTGGTTGCTCCGCATTTTGTGTTGTGAACCTTCCTTAGCCGTTAGGCCGGTATACTCGCCGAAATCACTATATCTTGGTTTTTTTACAAATTGGCCTGACCCATTATTTTGTCGAGGGCCTTTCTTATTAAATTTATTTTGCTTTTCATTATTATTTCTATTAAAATTCAAGTTAGAAGAACCCTGATTTTCTGAACTTTGATTCCTATTGTCATTTCCTTGATTACTATTTTTATTGAACTTATTAAGTTTCCCAAACTTCCGTCTCTTAGCGTAACTTTCGTCTGGTGCTATTTCTGGTTTCCGTTTCCTGTTTCTCCTATCTGTGGTTTGGCCGCCATCTTTGTTTGCGAGCGGGTTGTTGGCTATGGATTTCTCTAATCTTTTCTTTCTTGCGTTTAATGCTGTTCGATCTTCTATTGAGAATGAGACGATGGGCCTCTGTGAAAAAGAGATAATAAATCATTTTATTTTAACAAATAAAATTATTCGAATACTAAATAATTATAATGCACATTTCTTCAATAGGTTTTCGACTTTATTATAGAACAATAAAGTTGAAAGTGCAGTACTCACATTATTTTTATCAAATACATCTGGATTGTTGTTCAGTTTCCGCAGACACGCGAGAGCGTCCTCGTGTCTCGTGAACATTACGAAGCCGTAACCTTTTGACCTGTAACAATCAATTGTTAATGTAGTAGAGAAAATTTCCCCAGCCAACTTTGATTTACATTTTGACAGCACTATCAGTTTTATTATCCTTGAAAACTACGAGCACAAAACCCAATAAGAAAACAATATTACGTCAAACAGCGCCGCGCGTGTCAAAATTTTGTAACTATAAATTGGGTATAATGAGCACTTTGTTACATTATAGATGGCTATCCTTACTAATATTATAAATTGGAAAGTGAGTTTGTTTTGTTTGTTTGTTCCGCTTTCACACCGTAACTACTGAACCGATTGCTTTGAATTTTTGCAGACATAAAGTTAGAAGTCTGGATTAAATAATAGGGTACCTACTTTATATGTTTTTATAATAACTATCGTGAGACATACTAAATTAAGTAAAAACGCGGGTTACTCACGTGAATATACTGAGAAAAGCTCTACTAGTTTCGAATTCTCCAGTGAGCTGCGCGACGTCGCCGCGACCGCGCACGCTGCTCATGAGGAAGAACCCCTCTGTGGTTCGAAACTAGTAGAGCTTTTCTCAGTATACCTACTTTATAATTTTATATCCCGGAAAAATTTGATATTACCGAGGGAAAACAAAAGTATTGGTATAGATGGCGCTGTGTGTATTGGTATATGTCACATAGGCTACTTTTTATCCTTTTGTGACGCAAGCGAAGCCGCGGGTAAAAGCTAGTATTGAATAACGCATAGTTCTGAAAACTATCTGGCTGATTTTGACTCAGCCGTATTCAATGCGGGTAATCGTTCAGCCGTTGTGTTAAACAACGCCTCTGATTTGCTAAATGGCTAGGCGTGTTGTACTAGGACGGATTATACAAATCAATTACGTTTGGTATAACG